ATCGTAAGTAAATCTTTAAGTAGTATATACCGGTTCTAAGCAGAGGCCCTCCTCTATCTATAGGAAGCGACGGAAGCGTTTCTTATACTTAAGTTCGAAGTGTCTAATATACTTATAATATATACGAAACGAGTAACGTTATAGTAAAAGGATATAGTACTTTGTCGATAGATTCGGAAGCGCTTCCTAGGGGAAAATAACGGAAAAGATAACTTTTAAGCTTTTGGGAATTTGCCGACTATATCTACTAACTATCTCTTAGGGGAACAATTACGACTCCTACCGATAAGACTTTCCGATAATATTTACTACCTATTTACCTAGGGAAGGGCTTCTACCGACTGTACCTACCGACCCTACCTGCCGACCGTACCTACTAACCGTACCTACCGGTTACTCCCGGTAATTAAAGATTACGTACGAAAACCTTATTTGGATCTCGTATAAATTACGTATATATTATTACTTAGGCAGCAAACTATCTGTAGCCTCTAATTAGCCGAGCGGTTGTCTCCTAATAATACAAAGTTACTCTCTACTTCAGAAAAAACCTAACTTACTATATTAATATTGCCCCCTTCCTTTCTCTCTTTCCTTACTACCTCTACTATACTATACTATACTATACTACTATACTATACTATACTACTATACTATACTATACTATACTACTATACTATACTATACTACCGCTACTATACTATACTAGTGTACTAATCTACTATAATAGCCTCGGCTATATCGATTGCGTAGAAGCGTAAACAATCGATCGCTTGCAAGACTCCTCGTACTAGTAGAAAGGGACTTCCTTTACGTATAGGTAGTAAAAAGCTTCTAGGCGCTTGTATTAAGAAGGGATATAGATATACCCTAGGTAGTAAGTAATTCTAGAATTTCAGATCTATAGTCGGTATTTATAGTCGGCACTTGTAGTCGGTATTTGTAGTCGGTACTAACTTTCTTAAAGCATTAGCTCTTAAAGAGATTAGGAAGTGCTAGAAGGAGAGCCTACTCTATATTAAGAAAACTCTATTTGCTAGACTTATTAAGGAGCTCGTTATAGATTAGGCTTATATACCTCTTCGCATTTAAGCAAGCGCTCTTAGCGTTCTTCAAGAATATACTAAGTCTCTCTTAGTAAGAATCTTTACCTATAAGTCTTCCTATTTCTTATTCTTTCTAATTAATTACTTACTTACTTACTTACCTCCTCTAGCGGCTAACCTTTTAGCTATTTACGCTAAGCGCGTTATACTTTAAGGCAAAGATATAGAGTATCTTCGCTCGCTCCTTAAGGAGTAGGGTGTTTAGCCTAACGATTTTGTAGTCTGCCCTTACAATTCTAGTCCTATTAATCCCAATTTTATCTATATAGAGCTAAAGAAGAACAAAGCTCCTAAGGTACTAAAACCGAAGGCTACGCTAAAATATAAGCCTCTCCTAACTAAGAAGCCTTAACGAATTGTTAATTACGATTCCGACGAGGATATACTAGACGCTACTTAGAATCCGACTATAGACAATAATAATAGCGAGGATACTACTACTTAGTAGGCAACTCTTAGTAAGTTACTCCTCTTTTATTATTAATTATAATATACTAATTTAATAGCTTAGGATAATACTCCGCTACTACTAGATAATAAGTAAGAGGAAGATAAGTAGGACGCAGATAATTAGGACGAAGATAAGTAGGACGAAGATAAGTAGGAGTAAGATAAGTAAGATTAAGATGTCTAAGATCGAGACTTTTAAGCTAGTTATAATTAAGAAGAGCTAGATAATAATACTAGCGATAATAAGCAAACTCTTAAGCAGAGGTTAGAAGCCTACGCTAATAAGTTAGTAGCGGTAGCTTACGCGCTTACTATTACGAAAGAGCGTTTAGAAGATAGTATATACCTTACTTAGCAAACTCTCGAGGGAGATACGAAGAAAATTGCGCGTTAGTATTATAGTTAGTAGTAGCTAAACTTCGAAGATCAGCTTTGCGCCTATTAAAAGATTTAAGACGCTTAAGCAAAGGAGCAATCTGCTCTAGATACTTAGCTACTTACTAAGAAGTAAGGTAGTTTCTATCCTTAGTATATAGTAGCTTATAACTATAATTAATTAGTTAGAGCTTTCCTTTCTAGTAATCTCTTTTTAGTCTATATATATAGTCGGTATATATAGTCGGTAGCTGCAGTAAGTATAAAATATTTTCCTATTAAAATCTGCGCTCTAGGAATCAGATAGTAGGTATATATACCTTATTTATATTATTTTCTACTATTTCGTAGGTATTCAACTCGTATTATATAATACCTATTACAATACCTATTAGGTATACCTACTAGGTTTTTACCGTTAGGTTGTACCCCGCTTATAAGCTAGGTACCTAGCTTATTTATAGGGTTAGGTATTTAAGTTAGGTTGTACCTAACCTATACCTAACCTAACCTATAACGAGGCCTAGTTATTCGCAAGCTCTAGGCTTAGGAAGATATACTGTACCTAGCGATTGCGAATCTTATAAACTAGCTCCTTGTCTAATTTCCTGTTCTCTATAGTAAGGTTAACAATATTAATTAATAACCGAGAGTCCTTTTCTAGTAACCGTAGAGCCCTCCTTATATCCTCGGCCTGTTCCTCGCCTAATCGATTTAATAGTATTATCTATACGACAATCAAGCTAGTTATTAACGTAAAGGTATAGAAAATTAAGCTCTTCCCTCCTCTAGTACGCTTAATTACAATTACGTCCTTAAATCCGAGTACGCTCGTAAAGATAGTATCGTATTACAACTCGGTAGGAGTCAATCTCTCCTTGTCTAGATAGAACAGCTTAAGGATCTAAGTCAATACTACTATAGTAGCTATACGCTAAAAGGAATCGTTAGTATTAAAGAGTCTAATATTATAATAAAGGATCTGCAGTTATTCTAATATAAGGTCTAGTATATCCTCGATACGACCTCGGAAGTATACTTTGATCTCGTCCCTTAGTACCTCGAACGCCGGTATTAGAACTCGATCGCTATTCTAATAAGATAGTACAGTACGACTAAGGGCTTTACGGCCTAGCAAGAAAAGCTCTTTATTCCTATCCTTATTGTTACTAGCGCTAGTATAAGTACTACTAGTACTTGCTTTAGCCTTCTGTTGTCTTCCTTTACTCTTCTTACTACCGGATATACTACTAAAGTTACCTATAGGTATCGTAGCCTATAGTATACGCTAGATAGATATCAAACGTAGATGTCAAACGGTAGCGAAAAATCGTCGTATATTGACGAGTATTGATCCGATAGTATTCGTACTTTGTAGAGGTCGAGAATAGTATATACTAGAGAGGATAGCTTCTTTGATTTAGTAGGTTTCTGTCTAGGTTCGACCTCGTCGTCGCTATCGATAGAATTGCTTAGCGAGGTAAAGAACTCGAAGCTCTTAGAGCGCGGACTATACGACACTTTAGGGAGTTAGTTTAGTAGTATCTAGAGGTAATAGAGCATTCTCGATAGATAGGTCGTCGTCGTTAGAGCAGAGTAGGGGGTCTGTCGATAGTAGTAGATATTGTATCGCAATTTAGGAACGCGCCTTTATACCTACTGTATTAAAAGTAGTATCAATCGAATTTTTAGGCCGCTTTTTAGAAATACTTTTTTTCTCGTATACCTCTTAGTACTAGTTATAGTACTATTTGGCAGTAAAGTTTCTCGTAGGTATAGAGTATAACCGTTTACTATATATTAGCTTTAGCCGCTTTAAGAAAGCTACTAACTCTCTAGATAACAGATCCGAACCCTACCCGTAGTCTACCCGCGCTTTACGTTACCTTCTAAACAAAGCGGCTATATTAGAGCTAGCTCCTAGTTATGTCTATAAATACAGAGATAGCGCTAATTGGCTTAGAATTAAAGACCGTACTATATAAAAATCGTTAATACGTAACTTTCTAATATATAGTAATTCGTGTCCGCCCCTAACTTAATATATCAAAATCTAAGGTTTCTGCCCTTACTAAGCAATAGTATATAGGCATAAACTCGTATAGGTATAAACTATATATATTGCTTCCCTAAATAACGATACCGCGCGTATGTATTACTACCCCTCTTACCTGCCTAGTCTTCTATCCCCGCTGCCGAATATATACGATATACGAAACCCTTTTCTATATAACGCTCGTATAGTAGATTTCGCGTTACCCCTATAGGAGTTTCTTTAATCCTACTAACATACGATAGCAGTACCCTTCGCTTAGCCGATCCCGCTGCCTACGTACTATTATCTCGTACCTCTCGACTTGTAGAATAGTATATATCTAAGGCGGTTAGTCGTCGCGCTACTACCTTAGCCTACGTAGGCCTACTACTACCTCTACTTAGTATACTTAGCGCTATCTCTAGCTCTTCCTTATTATTAGGTATCTCGTACGGATCGAGCTATAGTACTATAGGTAGCCGCTTTATAAGACGTAGGCTCGGTTGCTATAGCTATAAAGAACTAGTAACCGGAGAAGAAGAGGTACTTAGCTATTCGGGTATAGTATAATACTACTTATATTCGCTATTATTATCGATTAGCTCTAGCGTCGGCTCTACGGCTATTCTGTTAATAGTATTATATATCTACTAATCGTCGTCGGCTATAATTGTCTATACTTGAATTAGTTTAGCTAATCGGATATTAGAGAATTGCTCTTAGTTCTATATATAAATTTGTATATATATAGTACTAATCGACTCGGGTTAATATATATATATATATATATCGCATATATAGAATTTGTAGAATTCCGATATTAGCGTATATTTAGATACGATATACAATATATACAGCGGGTATAAACTATAGGTAGGGAAAAAGATTAGCCTCTATATTAGCAAGATTAGCCGACGTTCCGTACTACTAACGGGCTAGCCCGTAGGACATATTATATATATATGTATACGCACTTTGCAATAAGTAACAAAGTAGTAGTAGTAAGGTTAAAAATACGGCCGGCGCTAAGAGGCGGCGGTAGTACGGTAATTATCGTAATCTGTCTTCTTAGAAACCGACGGTAATACCGACGCTCGAAAACCGGAAACCTGCTAAAGAAGACGGGGCCTAAGACGTAGCGTCTACAAATCATATACCTCTATTGAATTCTACAAGACCGTTCTCGCCGCCCTTCTCCCAGAATTCCTGCTCTAAGCTCGAAGCCTTTACAGCCTGTCTCTGCGGGAAAGCCGCCAACGCAAGCGGCAGCGCAAAGATACTCGTAGTCAGAATCAGGCCCAGATTCACCGGCGTGACCATCCTCGGCCTTGCCTTCAGCCACTGCGTCTGTTGCAATCGGACGAGGATGAGGGGTGGAATGACCATGATAGGTGTAGCGTTGAGTACTCGGGAGACAGCAGTCTCTCCCACTGCAAGTGTAGCAGCTTTCTTACTCTTGCCAATGGGCTCCAGTGCCTCTCCAGCTTCTTCTCTCTTCTTCCTGTCAGATTCGGACTCGCTAGGGTAGACGTTGATACCTTGTCGAATTTCCTCGCCGCGCATGAGGAAGACATTGAGGACACCGGCGCTGGCGACAGCTGCGAAAGGCACTAGTCGACCCAAAGTAACCTTTGCTGCTGGGCTGAGGCGCTTGAGTCGAGGCACAATTGAGTTGAGGCCGACAGCTACACCACAACTGGCTCCTACGGCTAGGAAGTAGGACTGGATGATGCTAGAGGTCGACATTGGTGTACTCTTGTTTGCGTTGGAAAAATTGATAGCCACATTGAGTGACTGATTGGCGATTTGCCATGCGACTGTTCCAGTTGTGGTCAAGTTGGGCGTGAGCATGCCAGCGGTGACGACCAAGTTGGACATGACGAAGCAGGACATTCGGAAGGGGAGAAAGACTGGTTCTCCGGTATCTGGACGGCGCGTCAGTATTGAGTCTCGTTACGAGCGGATGGATATGCCGCACCGGGATGGAGAGTCGAATCCACGACCTTCTTGGCGGTCCATAGCTCAGGAGTCATCTGCTGAATCGTGCCCTGCTTGTATTGTGTGATGAGAGACTTGGCATGTTCGAGGCCGGTGGAGGAGGTGAAGAGTGTCCTGAGAGAATCTGTTAGTAAGTTCTACTCTCAACACCAATTGCCCGAACAATGCCGCCAGTCAGATGAATACAAATTGGCATTACTGACCCATTGGGGATCACATTGAGCCTTTCACTCCGTCCTCGTGTTTTTTATTTCTCACCTCGGATCGGAAATGTCTGCGGAGTGCTTGACGCGTCCCCAATATGTGCTGAGATCATGGCGAGAAGCGGGCAGATCTCGACTGCCAGGAAGCGCGGCAGACATGATTTGCTGTGATGTCGAAGCGAGAGGGAGGCCGAAGAGATGGCAGACGTGAACGCGAATTGTCGGTGATTGGGGAGTCACCAGCGATACCGCCAACGGGTATTGCCGCGACAAGCGAACCGGAGACACCACGCAATTTTCTCTGCTTTCCCGACCATCTACTACCTGACTTACTTCGACTTCCAACACCATCACTTCCATCTCATCGGGAACCAGCATCGCCAAGTATACCTACCTACGCAAAGGACAGACATGTAGTCGCTGATCCTACCGTCTTACCCACGCTCACTGCTGCTCTCACGCGTCGCCTGCAATGAATGGTCAGGTAGCTGCGCATTCCCGACATCCTTCCTGTATATACAACAGGCCGAAAAGGAAACCATCGTCTCTCACCGCGCTCGATCTGGCAAAGTACCTCTTTTTACAGATCTTGAGCTGGCTTTCCACCAACAGACTCTTCGGAGTATGCTGGTGTGAATACGAGACAAGATCAAACACATCTTCGGCGGTTTTTGAGTACGAATCCAGGCTTTTGCTTCTACAGCCCGGCTTTTTCGTAATTTACCAGCTCGATACAATCACGTACATCATATATGTACATACGAGAGAGCAAGTGCATAGCTCCATTGTTACATAGTGATTATTGGTGCCTTGCTATGGCAATCCTTCAATCTCCCTCCTCCTCGCCTCTCTCAAGTCCTGACTCGCAGGCCTTCTCACTTCTCTCCATACTCCATCCCAAGGTCTCAAATCCTGCGCAGTAATAGGAGAGGCATTCGACTGTGCCGATGCAGAGAAAGGCTTTGCAGTTTGCGAGTACGAAGACGACGGCGTGTGGGTTGCCGTCATTGGTGGAGGGGGAGCGAACCAACCTCCGGCGGGCGTAGTCGCCGTTATAGCATCCTCCTCCTGCCAGTCAATTTGGTAAGTGCTGGATGTGGTGGTCGGATGTGGTGACGCAGGCTGTTCTTCGCGGTTGAGAAGTAGCATGAGCATTTGTTGCCGTTGCATTTCTTCTTCTGTGATGCAGTTCGGGTCATATCCTCCTCCGGTTTGAAGTGGTGGAGGTGGCTGTTGTGGTAACCCTTCTCCTGCACGACTATATGCAGAAGGAAACATGTTTTGGTTGTAGTTGGAATAGTATGTCTGCTCTTGCGCGAAAGGTCTGTAGCTGGTTTCAGCTCCAGCATTATTACGTGTTGTGGTTCCCATCTGCATCATGGGCACGGGCAAACACTGTATGCGGGTCCTCTCTTTTCCGACTCTTTGCTGGGCCCAGATCAAAAGTCCTCCATATACGGTAGTGCTGACAGCTGCCCCTATCGTCACCAACAAGGCGGGAGTATTCCAGTAATATCTTTTGAAGACGAGGAAATTGTAGAAGACGGTCAACAGACCTAATGCGCAGGATGTGAAAGCGGGGAGGAAGACATTATCCGCTCGGAAAAGTGGATTGCGCACTGCGTAGCAAAGGAGCGCTGTGAAGGAGAAGCCTGCGGTAAGGAGAGCTAATGCGAAGATGCCGAGGGCGGCTTCTGCTACTCGTAGGACTGGGTCTCGTTCGAATGTCACGGGGAGCATAAGGAAACTGGTGCGTAGCAGGTCAGCATCAGCTCAGCTCACATGCAATATATATCGAGCATATGTCCAATAGCAGCGAGCATTAAGAACAACAACTTACCCGCCCAGAATCAGAAAACTCGACGCTATCCCTACCGACCTCCAATACCACGCCACAGCATCTCTTCCTGCTAACAGACCATCGAGGGTCCTATAGCTCTGCGCCCGTGGCCGACCTGGCGCTCGTATGCGTTTGATGGCGCCAAAAGGCGAAGGTTTTGTGTTGGGAGATGTAGAGATGTCTTCTTGAATCCCTCTTCCTCCATACATTTCAAAGGTTGTAGACCAGATTCTTTGCGCCGAAGCGCGCGATTCCCGAGCCTCTCGTGTATCGTATCCTCCCTTCTTGCGAAGCTAAATCCTCCTGTTCTGCGCAGCAATCGTAGCTTGATCCTCGAGTCTGATCTCCTCCTGCCAAAGTCTGGACCGGATCGACTCCTCCGATATGGCTATGCGTAATTACTGGCTCTTTTGGGTGGTGGTCGTCAGCGCACAAGGATATAGTCCGAATCGCCTGACACTGTTGTATAGCGAAATGTCGACTGGTCGCCGTCGTCGGCTTCGTTTGGTCTGGAAGGAGACTGCCTAGAACACAGTAAGGTAGCCTTCGCAACGCCAGCTCTTGCTGAAGGGATCAGTCAATAGATAGGGAGTATGGCAGTTGGTACAACGAAAGGATAACAGGCGATCAGAAGAGGCTGAAGAGGCCAAGTACAGTACCTAGGTGAGGAGGTAGGTACCTGAGTATTACAACTAGGTAGGTACCGACGGGTGGCATTGACAGGGTAAGCCACACCAGCCTTACTACAAGGGTAAAGAGCGCGCCTACCTTCCAGCAATCCTCATTGGGAGCCAGATAATGTCTTGTGGCGGTGGTATATCCCATGGGTTGGGAGTACTATGATATGTCACCTAGGTACGCAATATTGCATCGTAAAAGTATATGTACTGTAGTGCGGTGAAGACGGGATGCCCTCTCGCGAAAATAGAAACACTAGAACAGTTCTCTGGTAGGAGGAGGTACTGGCACCGTGGCGGAGTCGGCGAGTTTTATGCTTCCTGCAAACTCCGAGTCTCCGACAGTCGTGCGAGGACTCACCACGCGCCACGAGCAGACTCTCCTCTGGAGCGTGTCTATGCTATAACCCAAGGCTCTGTTCATCTTGAGGAACTTGGCAAAATATCGAAGCGCCTCCGAACCCGAAGAAAGACATGATGGCGTTGCGGTTGTAGTGATTTTGATGGAAGTGTACAGGTAGTTATCAGATATGGTCGTCGACTTTCGTATATACCCACATCAACATCGCGATGATCTGCACTCTATTGAACAGTATAGTGCCATTCTACCTGATCCAGGAAGACAATGTAGAGAGTAGGTACATATAGAACTGTCCAGCTATGCGCTCTTTCTCGGGATGTCTTGCTGCTATTGCTGTGAAGAACACCAGAGGCCGTTCTCGGAGGACAAGCACTGGTAACCTGGCTGGCTGCAAGCCTGCAAAATGTCGCGTGAGTGCTGTATCTATTTGTATGCTATGATATCGGAGATCAAGGCGAAACTTACACCGTTGCAACAGAGCGTGCAGGCTTGGCCTTCAATCGATCCTGGTAGGTCGCAAGTGTCGGTGCAATCTGCGATAGCTACTCCGCTAAATACGAGCGCTGCAGAGAACAGTCGTAGGAGCAACATCGCTTGTTTGCTTGTTTGCTTGTTTGCTTGTTTGCTTGTTTGCTTGTTTGCTTGGTTTTGCCTGCTGTACTGTATATGATTAGTCCTCTAGAGAGTATTTTGGTGTATGCAAGTGCTATATGTACCAGTTGTTCTGCGTGTCGAAAAGGTGGTGTTTCGAAAAGATAGGGGGCTTCGAAGAGGTACCTGGGCTTGAGTAGGTAGTTGTCAAGAGGAACAACACGAACGAGCAGACGACGTTATTTTATACCTGGAGGATACGACTGCGATACCGGGAAAACTGCGCGTTGCACCCACGAGGATCTCATCTCCACGATGTCCTCGACAGGGAATTCTCAGCAGCAGGGTAGGTCAGATCTGTATATTGTCATTGGCGAGGATGAACCCTTCGAAGCAGGTCACGCTGTCCACGACCGGCTAGGCCATAGGCAGGCCGCCGGCCAGGCCTCTACGACAACGAACTCTGTTTCCTTTTTCCCCCGGCAAGGCTCCTTAGGTAGATGTAGCGTGTGGGCATAGTATTTGTATATGGCTAGAGCTGTAGACGGTGAATGAAGTCCTCTCGTAGCTAGAATAATTCTTGATTGGTTACGCGGCGCAGTTGAAGCCGATTTTTACTCCCAAGCAAGCCGAGCGCCTTGTACTTGTATTTCCGAACTTTCCGTTCATTCTGTGTACCTAGAGGGGGTAGGGGTGCGGGTGTCAGCTACACCTAGGAAGTATTTAGAACGTCAGCATACCGCTGTATAGGCCGTCGAATAGGCGCCAGGCGGTTATTGAACGTACGCCGGCGCGGCTTACAAAGTTACATACCTTGGTAGTAATTTCAGATATGTAGTAAATGCCTGTTATACCGGTATCGCAGGACCCAGGTCACTGCTATGTGTGTTATATATCCGCGGAGTACCTGCACAAGCAGTGCCTTTGCCGAGTTGGTACAATAAGGTAGCTGTCAGAACGCTTGTTACAACTAAACTTGAAGTATTGATCAACTGACTCCCGCTCGATCACTCTGGATAGCGGAATATAGTCGAGACATTGTTTCGCCGCTCTCAATTGTATAGCAGTGCTGTCAACATTACGGACGTCCTCGTAAACAGCTGCTGTTGACTATGTACTCCTGAATAGTGTAGTCCTGAATAGGGTCAATAGGTACTGCACGCATCTGAAACAAGCCGCAGAATCGAGCCATTGTCGTATAGTGACCGAAAGGTGTTGCAGAGAACAAAAGTCAAGCTGACAGCGGATAGTAGGAGGTAGGCTGCAAAGTAACATACAAGATGGACGATATGCTAGTTGCTGGCACAGTAGGAGTTGGTAGGGCGCAAAGCGACTGCAAAGCGACTCCGACGGCCGGTGGATTAGACAAGTTTGTAGGCTTGGCCGCGCCCTGACGGACGGCCACCTTTTACCTGAGGCTACAAAGAGGCATTTGCAATCATACCTGGTAAGGTACCTACCTTAGGTAAGCGGCTGATATTCCTCTCCAACGTACCCGCGACTCGGAACGTGTAGAAAGTCGATCAATAGTACAATGGAATATGGGTAAGACGGGACTCAGGAGGTACATGTAAGGTATTATTCTGATCGGATTCGATGAGAGCGGAACAATAAGGCCGAAGGCGATGGTATACTACCTTATAGCGTGGCTGCTGTCCGGCCTCTCATTGGCTCGGACATGTTACGCCGCTCAACGCGGCGGAAGTCGGAAGACTTTTTGTCGCGACGGCAGGAGCAGTGCTGAACATTATTCGACATTGGACTTTGACCTCAACCTCTCCCATTTCATTCCATTCTCAAACACCACCGCGCACCGCCGCATCACCTCTCTCCACTCCACCGCACGCACCGTCGAGCTCTTCCTCCCCCCTAAGGCACACCTACTCTTCCCCTGCACACACAGTCACCATGTCTGGAACAGGTACGCAAGCACCACAGAGCACTGGCATCGCCAAGCTCGATGCCGTCAAGGAGACTCTTGCTGCGAAGACGCCCGAGAAGCTCAGCGGTGTCGCCCTCTACTCCCGATTCGCCTTTGCTGGTGCCGTGTGCTGTTCTATAACTCACGGTGGTCTCACACCTGTCGATGTGTAAGTTGGCGCCAGGAGACAGAAAGATTTGGTTTCGCGCGCGCGCGCGCACGAGAGAGAGAGGAGAGCTGACACGGCGTCTTACACAGCGTCAAGACCCGTATTCAGCTCGACCCAGTCACCTACAACCGCGGATTGATCGGTGGTTTCCGTCAAGTCATCGCCAACGAGGGAGCTGGTGCTCTCCTTACCGGTGCAGGCCCAACCTTTGCTGGCTACTTCCTCCAGGGCGCATTCAAATTCGGCGGATATGAATTCTTCAAGCAGCAGTCCATTGGTCTCCTCGGCTACGAATCTGCCTCCAACAACCGCACCGCCGTCTACCTCGCCTCCGCTGCCACCGCCGAGTTCTTCGCTGATATCGCCCTCTGCCCTCTCGAGGCCACCCGTATTCGATTGGTATCGCAGCCTACATTCGCTAGCGGACTCGCTAGTGGTTTCAGCAAGATCGCCAAGCAGGAAGGCATCGGTGGTTTCTACTCTGGTTTCGGACCCATGTTGTTCAAGCAAATCCCATACACTATGGCCAAGTTCGTGGTGTACGAGAAGGTGGCCGAGGCAGCATACAAGAACTTCTTTGACAAGGAGAAGACTTCTAGTGGAATGCAGACTGTCATCAACCTGGGATCGGGTCTGATTGCTGGTTTCGCTGCTGCCATCATCTCGCAGCCTGCTGACACGATGCTTTCCAAGATCAACAAGACCCAGGGTCTTCCAGGTGAGGGAACCACCAGCCGTCTGATCAAGATCGCCAAGGAGCTTGGTTTGAAGGGTTCGTTCAGCGGTATTGGTGCTCGTCTGTTCATGGTCGGAACCATCACTGCTGGTCAATTCGCCATTTACGGAGACATCAAGAAGGCTATCGGTAAGTCTATCGTGCGACTCTGACTTGGTGTATGGATGCTGACTTGTTTAGGCGCTACCGGTGGTGTTGAGATCGCCAAGTAAGCGTCTCCTGTCTGCGAGAGGTGGGGAGCAGGTGGGAAGTGGTGTGTAATGCAGCGAGATCCGAAGGAGCTGCTGTTTCTCTCTTCTTCTTCTGCTTCTCCTAGTAGAAGGAGTGCGAGATAAGAGCCTAATGTCTTGATTTGAACTGCTAAAATGATAGAGGATGGGCGCAGCAAGACAGCTTTCTCTAGATCCGTGTACAGTAGGGCATTAGGGATGGCGTTTGATTGAAATGCATCATGATCTAACTTGCGTTGCGCATTGGACTCTTTCTCTTCCTCTTTCTCCTTCTCTTTGCCTCGGATGAATACCACTCGAGACAGAGGTCGAATGTGGCATGCGACATATGCTTACGTAACATTCAACGTTCCTGTCGTCAACCAATATCATGTGTATTGAAGAACCTCTCTCTCTCTCTCTCTCTTTTTCTCTTCGTCTTACATGTATCTGCCGCAATCCAATATGTCAGGTCTTGGCTTATTCTTTTTCCATCGTCGGCTCTGCTCCGTGTAACAGACATGAAATCCCACTTGTGTGATGACGCTCGCTTCTTCTCTCGTACTCTCGCCTGTACATGGACTTGCGCGTAGAATAGCAGCATGTGGGTCACGCCGACCACGCGTGCGGTATCACTATGGCTAATTATGCGCGCCTCCAATACACGGACAGGTAGGTCGACGTGACGTTCGTGCAACTGACTCTCAGCTACCTCCCTTGATCAGCCAGGCAGCAGCAACATGTCCAACAGTGCAAAGGACAATCCCGTCATCTTCCAGGCCTTCGAATGGCACACTCGATCGCACCCTCCGCCCCCGCACGAAACTTCCTCTCCATCCTCCCACTGGTCTCGTCTGACCCGTCTCCTCCCCACCCTCCACTCCTTCGGCATCACCGCTCTCTGGCTCCCGCCCGGCTGTAAAGCCAACTCTCCCACTGGCAACGGCTACGACTGCTACGACATCTGGGATCTCGGTGAATTCGACCAAAAGTGGGCTCGAAGCACGAAATGGGGCTGTCGCGAAGAACTGAATCTCCTCATCCGCACCGCGAAGAGTCTGGGGGTCGAAATCGTGTGGGATGCCGTGTTGAACCACAAGACAGCGGGGGATCGTGTCGAGGAGACGTGGGCTGTGGAGGTCGACCCTCAGGATCGGAGGATAGAGGTCACGGAACCGAGGAAGATTGAGGCTTGGTTGAGGTATGATTTTCCAGGGAGGGGAGAAAGATATAGTGGGTTGAAATGGGGGGCGGAGCATTTCAGCGGGACGGATTGGGATCAGAGGAGGGAGAGGAATGCCATTTACAAGTTGATTGATGATCCAATGAGGACTGTGAATGCTTCACTTCCTCCTCCTATACCGCCTAGACCGGGAAAGGAACACAATAACCATCATCAGGGTTTCAACATGTCTCGTTTCGCTCGCTTTGCCAAAGATACCATTCAAAAACATACCGCTCTGCCTATGTGGAAAACAATCTCACAGCGCCCGGGCAAAGGCTGGCTCCCGGATGTATCACGCACGCTTGGGAACTATGACTACTTACTGTTTTCCAACATTTACTACCTCCACCCTGCCGTCCGGTCGGACATTCTGAATTGGGGAAAATGGATGCTCGAAGAAGTTGGAATCGACGGAGGTTTTCGTCTCGATGCCGCTCAACATTTCAGCTGGAATTTCACGCGCGAATGGATTGAGCAGATCCAGGAGACAAGTCGACGACAGTATGGAGGAAGGGAAATGATGGTCGTTGGGGAGGTCTTGACGCATCACGTGGGGGATATCATACAGTGGTTGGATTGCGTTACACCTCCTTCATCATCATCATCATCATCATCATCATCAGAAGGACGAGGAAATGGAAACAGAAGATTAGCCTACGCCTTCGACACCCCTTTAATGTACTCCTTCTCCCGCGTCTCACAAGATGTCCATCACAACAGCCCCAACGCAGACTTGCGAACTCTCCTCGCCGGCCCTTCTCCGCCTCCTGGCAAAAGGTCCGCAGAAGGTGGTCATCATCATCATCATCATCATCATCCGGGACAAGCCCTCGTCTCCCTCCGCCCGCATCAGAGCCTCACCTTTGTCACTTCCCACGACACGCAAACCGGCCAAGACGCATACGTCCCCATGCGGCAAGATCTCAAAGCGCTCTGGTACGCTTTCATCTTGCTTCGCGAAGGTGGTGTACCGATCGTGTTTTGGGGAGATCTCTATGGGATTGCAGGCGATCCTCAGAAGGGGGAACGAGCACCTGCCGAATTACCGAGTTGCCGTCGTCGCCGTGCTGGAAAATTGGGGGGAGCCGGAGGCGGAGGGAGCAGTAAGTCACTCTTGCCGGTGATTATGTTGGCGCGCAAGCACTTTGCACATGGATCTCAACAGGATTATTTCGATGCGGCCGGTTGTATTGGTTGGGTGAGATATGGTGTTGTTGGTGGTGGTGATGGTGGCGGATGTGCAGTCATCTTATCGATCCTCCCGGCATCGACATGGACAATCAAGAAAATGTTTGTGGGACGCGCGCATCGAGGAGAGAGATGGGTGGATTGTTTGAGTGAACGTGCCGAAGGAAGGGCGGAATGCGTGATTGACGAGGACGGGTGTGGAGTCTTTGCGTGTCCTGGGGAAGGGGTTTGTGTGTATGTCAAGGAAACGGAACCGGTGAGGAGAGGTTGGGAGTTTGATGTGGATGTCTATCGACACTAGCTTTAGGGAGAAGTGTGACAGGCAAAAAGAGGGAGAGGGAGAGAGAGAGGGAGGAGGTACGATGAATGTTGTTGCAAGACGGATTGACAACTCAGGTTTTATGGATACCTTATGTCAAGGCAGGTAAATACGGTATGGCATGCTGCCATGCAAGACCGATCAAACTCCTTGGCACGGAACGGAACAAGTGGACGAATTTTGAGTTCCTTTCCATTCGGGTAAGAGTACCTAACATATTCGTCGTATTCGTCCACATGCGCAAATCATATCGGGCCTCCTGTTTCGAAGGCGGGATTCTTTTCTTCTTTTCTCTCGACAATAGAGGATAGTGGATACCTAGTCTCTGTCTGCTGCGTGGTCCTCCGAGGACACGGAAGAAAAAGAAAAAAAGAAAAAAAGAAAAAGACCAGCTCAAACACTAATCGTCTTAAACACACCAAATCCACTCTCCCCAGTACTCATCAACGTACCCTTCATCTGCGGATGCCAATGAGCCTCCTTGACACCCTTGGAGTAATGATTAAACAACAACTGCGGCGGAACATCTTTGGCGTCCGCCGTAAATCTACTCTCTTCATCATCTAATTCCACGGCTAAATCCCACAGAGTCAAATTGTCATCTCCTCCACATACGGCTACGACACTATCGTCTGTTGGATGCCATTCTACGCTGGTGATTTGGCCCAAGTGGAAAGCGAAGTGCGCAATGGGTTTGGAGGTCGTTTTTTGTTGGTGATCGGGGGATTTCCATTGTCGTAGATCCCATACTGACCATGTGCCGTCGTCGTGGCCCGAGGCGAGGAGATGAGGGGTTTGATGAGACCAGCTGAGGACGTTGGCGTCGCTCGTGCTGACTTGCACCGAGACGGCGTGTTTGCGGCTTTTGGAGCGTGCGTCCCAGATTTTGACCGTGCCGTCGCTGGAGGCGGAGGCGAAGACGTTGCGTTCGGTGGGGGACCATTGGAGTTCTTCGATGGAGCTGGAATGGCCGGTGTAGGGGGTTGTGTCGGTCACGAAGCCGCCGCCTTCGGTGCGCGTCGTGGCGAAGATGTGGCCGGCCGTGTCTCCTGTGAGGAGTTTGCCGGCGGGGATGAGAGGGGACCAGTCGAGAGCGTAGCCTTCATTGCGCTTGTGGGCGCGGATGGTGGACAGGGGTTTGTTGGCGTTGGTGGGGAGCATGTAGCCTGGTTCGTCAAAGGCGCGGAGATGCGGGGTGATGTCGTGGATGAGGACTTCGCCCGACTCCTGCATGGAGGCTGTGATTGTGGTGGGCGGTTGTGAGGCACTTGCTTGCGGTGATTGATGTGCTCGGATACGGTTGGTGGTTGTTGTGAGAGGGATGGATTTGGTCTCCAATACGGGATCAGAGAATGTGTCGTCGTCGTCCTCATCTTCATCGTCCGAATCGATGTTTTGGAACTTGTCGTTTCGTGAGAGTCCAGACAACTTCATGACCATGATTTGATTTTCCTTGGCTCGATCGGAGGCGGCTTGCGTGCCTGCTACGGCATATGCGGTGGCGGGGTATGATTTCCGGTCATCGCCCAGATTATCCTTGAGGATGTCGAAAGAGAGACACGGCCACGTCGGTTCCAGAGTGTGCAGCATTTCGTATACTGAGAGATCCGGCGCAAGAGTCTGTCCTGCTTCGAGTTGATGTCTCCCCGGAACGAAGGTTTGTTGGTCGACGTCCATGGCTCCCGCCGCTCTCTCGTCCGCTTCTCGCTCGTCGTCGGGTCTTCCATCGACGCCGGCTTCCAGCACTTCGTCTTCACTCTCGTACTCATCCTCGAATTCATCTTCGAATTCCTCTCCATCGGCCAGTGGCGTGTCTGCTACCGGCCGTTCGCCCGCCACCAGCCTCTGCGGCTCTTCATCCTCGGCGGCACGCTTGGACATGTTCACCTGCACGGGCGTGGGTGATGTTTGTTAAGGTGTACTGTATAGTACAGGTAGTTGTTCACTGAAAAAAAGTCTGGGCTTGGCAGATATGAGTGACGAAAGTCAGGTATCGACGATATTTTTGTCGGGTTCATGTGCGCCTGAACTTTACACGCGCTAGGCCGCATCGGGTGTGGAGGCATGTGGCGTTCGGGGCGGACGGGAGGGCGGACCGCAGCCAGTCCACGTTGGTTGGCGAGGAAGAGGAAGGAGCGACGCAGGCCAAGCGCGTGTTGCTCAACAGGGCAGTCCCGTCGACCAGTCACTACAGCGGCCCAGCACCGCTCAGCCAGCGCCAGCTCTAAAAGACAACGAGGACCAAGTTTTGGGGGAAGTTGCCAGAAAGCCAAGTTGAGTTGAGCTGGTACTACCGCCTACCGCCTACCGCCTACCGCCTACCCGCGCGACCACCAACTGCAGGTACCAGACGCGCTGGACTGGACCTGTCCCAGCTTGATCCCTCTCTGCTCCCGTCCGGTCTCTCTCCCCTCTCCCCTCCAACGCGCATGCATGCATCCATCCATATTACCGTGGCCTATTGTTGTTGATTGACTCGCCCGCCATGGACCTCGACTCCGAGCCTCCACAACCGCCGCCACACCCAGACCCGCAAGCGCTCACTGGTGACGGCACCACCACCAGCACCACCAGTGAGAAACACACCCTCCTCGACGACGCCTCGCTGCACACCATCGCCGCGACCTCTCTCCAGACCCCACCTGTGCTGCAGAATCCCTCCATCCACCACAGTAACCCCATGGCCGACGAGCGCCCGCGCACTTCCTACTCCGACACGGGCTTCGCGTCTCGCCCATACTCGCAGTCTGCGGACAATACTCCCGACCACTCACAACTGCAGCAGCAGCCGTCGCAGCAGCAGCAGCAGAATGGCAATGGCTTGAGCAGACCGCAGAGTCAGAGCGCGGCGGATGGCCAACGGCAGCAGGCCCAGAAGAACTCGTCAGTAGTCATCAAGGTCGGCATGGTGGGTGACGCGCAAATCGGCAAGACGAGTCTCATGGTGAAATACGTCGAAGGTAGCTGGGACGAGGACTACATACAGACGCTGGGTACGACGACGCTGCCCTTGGGCCTACCCATTACTCGTCAGACCCGCTGAAGCTAACATCATTACACTACAGGCGTCAATTTCATGGAAAAGACCATCAGTATACGGAACACGGAGATTACCTTCTCCATTTGGGATCTGGGTGGACAGCGCGAATTCGTCAACATGCTACCCCTCGTCTGCAACGATGCTGTCGCCATACTATTCATGTTTGATCTGACGCGCAAGTCCACCCTCAACAGCATCAAAGAGTGGTATCGTCAAGGACGCGGCTTCAACAAGACAGCCATTCCCTTTTTGGTGGGCACCAAATATGATCACTTTGTCAACTTTCCCCGAGAAGAACAAGAGGAGATTTCGCAGCAGGCCAAGCGTTTCGCAAAAGCGATGAAGGCGAGCTTGATCTTTTCGAGTACCAGTCACAGTATCAATGTGCAAAAGGTGGGCTTCACCTTTTTCCCGTTTTGACCTGGATTCGCCACAGCTAACCATGTCATTTCTAGATTTTCAAAATTGTGCTCTCCAAAGCTTTTGACCTCCGATGTACAATACCGGAAATCGAGAACGTTGGCGAACCACTTTTGATTTACCAGGCGTCGTAAGCAGATGGAGCGCCGCCAACCCTGTCCTCCATATCCTTGGCCACGAGGATATCGGCGCGAAACGGCTGGACCCAACACGCCGGTACGAACTCGAAGGAGCGCGCACCTCGAAGGTGCCGATGAAAGCGCTGGTAGCGAGAGGGATGGATGTCAGGGCATGAGATGGGGAGATGAGGCATCACGTCACTACCGAAAACGCGGGGTGCGTGCGATGCGAGGCTGGTGCAATAGGTGGGAATGGTGTCCACCCGGAATAGACTCCGGACCATTGCATCGATGAGAGAAGTCGAAGAGAATGCTACCTACCGACGAAGCTGAGAAACGCGAGTATGAAAGAAACTGAATGAAATGCCGCAATAACGTGCAATTGAATGGATTATGGGGGGGGAAGGGTTTAGAAGTGAAGCGGAGCAGGGGGAGCCTGGCGCACGCACTTTGCATGACGGAGGAGACTATGGGCGCTTGAGGCGCTGCTGTCATCACCACATTTCTTCTTGTTGTTTTTGTTGTTCTTGTTGTTCGTCGTCCTCTTCTTGCATGACAGACATGTTGGGAGGGGGACCACAGCACGCTTCTACTAGTCTACTACTACGGAATGAAGTATCACCATAATTCCATTTGTTTGGAGAAGGAAAGACTTGGGGAATTCCATGACTGCAGTATTTGATTCTCGATGCGAAGAAGAGGAGGAGGAGGAGGAGGATGATGAGTAGGAAGACCTGGTTAGACTACGATGGGCCAAATTCTACTGGAAATGAGAGCAAAAAGAAAAAAAAAGCATAACACCAGGGGTAGTAGACGCAGCTGCCTAAACGGGCCGCGCCTTACGCCTCGTGAAGGCTTACGAAGCACGGAGCACGAAGCGTATCATCTGTTCCCAACGACAAACTTTCCGCGTATGCGGCCGCCGTCTGCGATGCGAGAAACGATCTGATCTGATTTGTATAGGTAAAATGAAGTGAAATGACAAAAAGTTGCTGTTGCTGCCTACCTTATCTCCTATCGAAGGTATAATCGATCGATCGATTTGTTTGGGTAGGTAGGTAGGTAGGTAGGTAGGTATCCTCTCGGGAATAAGGTAGGGATTAAGGTAGCTTTCCTGTCTATACCTACCTACCTAACCTCTAAGCCCTACCTTACTCTTGCTACCTCCTAGAAGCGGGAATACTAGGGAGGTACTCTACTAAAGGGGCGTATTAGGAGGATTCTTGTATATATATATATAGGAGGTATGTAGGAGACTTTGCTTACTATATACCTTCTTAGGAGTTTGAATTGCTTAGGGGGGTTAATATATAGGTAAAGGTTAGTTGGTTAGAGGAGTTTATATCTGTCTGTTTGTAAATTTGTAAATTTCTACGTAGAAGCTTTTTCTGTTTTCTGTCCTCTAGAGAAAGATGATCAAGTAGTTAGGGATTGAGTAAGGTTGAAATTCGATCCGGTATTTTCTTAGACGAAGAAAGGGGAAAAAAAAACAAAGATAGAGGAGGAGATCAAAAACTCTTCGAATAAACAAGTTGTCGACCTGAACTTTCTTTCCATTTCGTCTCCTATTTTTGTTGATTGGAAAAAGAAAAAAAAATCCGCTTTCTCTACAAGTCTCTCTCTCTCTCTCTCTCTCTGGAATCGTACCTTACATAGGTACCCAAGGTACACATCCTTCAGCAATCCTTCAGGTTCTGATACTCCTCCACCTCATTCCACAAAGTCTCATTCTGCACAACTTTGACCTCCTGACTGAGATCCAACTCATTGTAGCGTCGAAGATCCATTTCTTCGGCGAGGAGGGGTTTGACGTAGGGGTCGAAGGTTTGCCAGTAGGGGTTTTCGAGATGATATCTGTGAATTGGGGGGATTGATTGATTAGTTGGGGGGGTTGGGGGTAGAGGGGAGGGGGTGGATTGGTGGATGGATGGATGGATGGGTAAGGTAAGGTAGAGTAAGGTAGATACATACTTTTGCGAACTCTCATTCACATATCTCTCAACAATGGTGAATTTTCTCGCATCGAGATGATCTTGCATTACAAACCTTGAAAGAAAGAAAGAAAAAAATCAGCAATTGTTTTCCTTTTTCTCCCAAAATCAAAAAACCCAACAAGTAGGCAGGTAGGCAGTTAGGTAAGGCATGTACATACCAAGACAACGTCTCCCGATCTTTCGAATACACCTGACTAGCCTCTTGCAATTTCGCCTTGACCTTGTTGATATTTTCCTCGCCTTCTTTGGTATACAAATGTACGACGAGAGTGTACGCTTGATTATCCGCGACACTCATGATTTGCGGAGCAGCAGCAGCGGGAGGAGTAGGAGTCGCCGATACGCTCAGAGCAGCGAGGAAGAAGAGAGGGAGAGTAGTCTTCATAATGATAGAGGAGGAGGAGGAGGAGGAGGAAAGGATCTTGGTAGAAAAGAGTTCGATGGCTCGCTCACGAGATGAATAGGTACCTACTTCTCTAGAGCGAAACGCCCGCTTGCTTGCTTGCTTCCTCCCCGTGGGGAGCGGGTTTTATATATCTGCATGTACCTTACCTGTCCGATGGTTCTTTTGGTGAGGGGAAAACATGACGTCCTTGTGGTCTGGTGTATTCGCTTGATGAACAATACATTAGCTAAATTAGAGCGCGAAGACGGTCTCTCCGGAGGCGGACCGTGAACCGTAGACTGTACAGTAGACCGTAAGAAACTGGAGAGAAGTTATGCTTGCCCCGGACAAGGGGTTGAAGCGGAGACCGACGGGAAGACCAGCGTATACAGTACCTCTTCGCCAAGAAGAGACTTGAATATACGTACTGTATGTAGCGTTATAGTACTATAGAACAGCCATTCAACATCTCTTTCGACTATTGTATCTCGTCTCGTCTCGTCTCCTCTCGTCTCATCTCCTCTCCTCTCGTCTCGTCGTCTCGTCTCATCTCGCTAAAGGTTTTCTAGTACTGCACACAATACCTACCTCCGGTAAGGAAGTATCGTAGTGCAGAACATAACGAACCAGAGGCACCACGAGCGATTATGCCGAAAAAGGTTCCGTCTAAAATCAAGCCGGAGTCGGGCCTTGGTTTCTATGCATTAGTATAGTACCTATACATACCTGACCTTCTAGTATGTACATAGGTACATGATGGTGATGTATTCGCCAAGACAGAAGCAGTACGATTATACCTTAAGGGAAGATTCAGACCTTTATGTAGCTGAGTGAGTAAGTGAGTGAGTACCTGGAGTAAAAAGAAGTTGGACGCGAACGATGGAAGTCGCCATGGCATGATGAGTCAGCAGTCAGCAAGACCACACTCGTGACTAGGTACTAAGGGCAGTGATAATATGTTGGTAGAGTAAGGTAGTGACTTCAGTCAGGTAGGTAAGTTTGAAGGTTGTGAGAATCTGAGCGGACTGATGGGAGTAGTCGGAAGCGAGGATAATGATCCAAGGTCGATAGGTAGTAATACTAGATTAGTAGTAGTCTAGCCTTTTCATCTTCCTGATTCTAGATCCTCTCCATCTGAGTACCTTAAGTCTATATTTTGGGGGGCAAGTCGTTCATATACAATCCAAGCCCTCTCTTTGTCCGCTCTGCCAATCACTCCATCGATCCACCCGCTATGCGCATGTCCCTTTTTCTCACGGGATAGTTTCGGCGCCGAAGCGAGCCTCGTGTTCTTCCTCTGCTTCTTCTTCTTCTTTTTCTTTCTCTTCTCTTCTTCCTTGCCACTACTTGGAACCCACCCATTGGCCTAGATGCAAGAAACAGACCAACAGAGCCGAGCAGAGGGGGAAGAGAGATGAGAGAGAGAGAGAGAGAGAGAGCGCGCGCGGGCCGTAAGATGCGCGTGATGATAACGCCTGGGAGCTGATCAATAAAAAAAAAACAAAAAAACAAAAAAGAAAACAAGTATGCCTCCTATGCATGCTGCTGTTCGTGGCAAAACAGTGTACGGTGCAAAAGGCTCCTGGGTATCATCCATTTCCGATTCCGAAACCATGCTCATCAAGATGATGAATCAAACAAGCAAGCAGAGTCGTTAGTTTCGTCAGGGAGGAGCGATAACATATGCTTGTATGGAATGAATGTATGCTGTCATCATTGGTGCACCGGTTGCTCCACCAGTCGGCTTCGACTTTCCTGTAGAGAAGTCTGCGCGGCGCTGGCAGTGTCAATTCCACTGCCCGTTGTGCTGGTGCTCTCACTTCTTGCAAAGGTAACGTGCCTGGGTGGTGCGGGAAATTCGGCTCTATTGGGAGACACCTGTCCTTGGCTGGAGTTGTTGGTCGTGGCGGTGCCTGTTCTTGCAATGTGAGGGCCCACGGAAGTGTGAGGGGAACCCAACTGAAAGAGGGCTTGCAAAGCTTCGGCTTCGGCTTCTGCGGTTTGCGTCTGTGTTCGGATTGTCGCAGGACGCTGAGGAGGTAGAGTGGCACTGACAGGCGTCCGAGGAGGAGACATGGCGGTGTTGATGTGTTGTGGAACAGGAGGGTGGAAGATGGGTCCGTTGTATGCTCGACGCTGGCTGGAAGTCGGTCGAATATCTGGCGCAGGCTGGAGGCGAGGCACTGTCGCGTACTGCTGCTGTTGTTGTTGCTGTAATTGTGCTTGATACTGCGAGTAGTTTCCCGAGGTGCGCTTCGAGGGCGCGGGTTCATTAGTATGCAGCGCAGATCTTCCGTATGGATCATACATGGACAGCTTCGAGGCATCGTTGGTCAGGCCGCTAGTTCCAGGCCGTTGCTGCTCGACGGACTCCCACTCGTACCTCTTCTGCTGTCTCTCCGCCGCCAGCTGCTCCACCTCGGCCAGCGACTTGTGCTCCCACCCATTCTGCACCTTGGCCATGGCATAGCCGAGACGCGCTCTCAACGTGGCTGCTATCTCTCCCGCCTTGCTCCCCGCCGAGGACGACTGCGACTCCCGTCGCGACTCGGGTCCTGCTGTGCGGGGAGTGGTGTGGTACGGAGAGGTGGTTATGCTATGCGCGTTCTTCACGTGGCCGGACGCGGTCCTCTTGGCGCCATTGGTGGTCGCGACGGGCGAGGTGATGCTCATGGGGCTATATAGTGCACTGTCGGCAGCGCTGTTGAGGTGGGGTGTACATTGGGCATTTTCGGGAGTCCTATTGCGCGGCGGTTGGACATGATTGTGTGTTTGTGTTGCGTGTGGTGTTGCATGGGTGGCAGTTGCGTGGGTGAGGTCAGCCGAGGACGAGGGCGACGTCAGAGCGGTGTCGGTGGTGAGTTGTGACAGATTGGTGTCGCTGCCTTGCAGTCTGGAGAGCGCGCTGCTGCCGCCGAAAGAGCTGTGTATGCTGGCGATGGATTCTTGGCTGGCGGGTTGCGACAGCGTCGGCGGGTGTGGCGGGTGGTGGTGTTGGTGGGTGGTGTCGGCTGGCTGCTGCATACGCGTCGTCGTGGCCGTTTGCGCGCGAGACGGGTCTGGGCGATGCGACTGGGAGGGCGCATGCGTGTAGTCGAGCGTGGCGGTCATGGTCTCCATTGGGGAGGGAGGGTGGTATGTGTGGGTGGTGGTGGTGGTGGTAGAGTGTGTGTCCTCAGAAGACGGGACGGCGAGCAAGAGTGCCCTCGGGCGTGGTGGTGGAGTCTCTGGGCTCGCTCTCTCTCTCGCTCGCTCACTCGCGCGTTGTGGAGGCTCTGGGCGGACTGGCCTCGTGCACTACAAAGATCGGTATCCTTACTCCGACCAGGTCAGGTAGTTGACGTCTTCGCGGCTCGATGATGACAGCAACACGCGCTATACACTCACTTTGACGCGTGCATTGCCAAGTCTTCGCGTCGGTCAGCAATATTGGAGGTCGTTTGGTGCAAATGTGGGCGCAGAAAGAGGAATTCGCATGTTCTGTCCTTGAGACAGGCAGAGGAAGCGTGTCGCGGCTCATCGATCCACTTATCCACTTTGGCACGGTTCGCGTGAACACGTGACAGAGCCGCGTCGGCGGGCTGGGCTAGTGTCTCGCGGGGCGTGCTCGGGCGGTTTTCTGCTTTTTCGTGTCATTTTTCTCTTTACCCGCCAAGTTGCCAACCGCCCTGGGAGTGCCCTCCATGTGACCTACTGTACCTTAGGTATGTACCTTATTCCTGCGGCTGTATCTGTACATATGCTGACCTTCATGTCTGCTTTTTCCCACTGCCACCCGCTGATACTGATGTTGCCTGTAGAATATCCATACCACTGTCCTTCCCCGCTTCCACCACTCGTTCGTGCCGCTCGTCGTCATCGTCATCGTCGTCGTGATCGAGGCCGACTCCACACCGCATGCATGTTCGTCACCTCGGCGCATACCTGACCGTAGAATGGTACAACAACCTACAACCATACCTTACCGTACTGTAGGTACCTGTAACCCCCATACAGTACCTGCCCAGACAACACCACCCCACCACTCGTGTTTCACCTCGCCGACATTCCATTCACTCTCCACCTCCGTGCGAGACCGTGCAAGAGAGGGCGGGTGTGTCATGCTCGCACCCCAGACACTGCAGCATTGTAGGGAAGAAGAGCTATGCTCTGTCAGAGAGCGAGAATAAGGCATCATGGCATCTTCGCTCGTTGCACCTCCAGCACTGGCCGGCTCCGAGGACTGAGACAGCTTCAAACGGCGACAGTGACGGATGGAGACATTGGCAGACTCGCTGCAAAGCCTCTGCACCCTCTCACTCTCGCGGATCTGTGTAAGAATGGGCGGCCTCCGCTGTCCCAGGAAGCGCTGCTCAGCAATGCCAACTTCACCCTCGACATCCTCCCCTCTCGCCTGGCTCATCGCATCCAGAGCTTACGCTCCCTCCCGTATATTGTCGTAGCCAATCCACATGTCAGCAAGATCCACCAGAACTACATCCACTCGTTGTCCACCCTTCTCCCATATGCCGAGCGGAAGCTGCAGAGCTTGGAGGAGGAAATCACCTTCACCGAGGTCATGGTCAACCTCGTCCAGACACATAGTAACACCATTGCTATTCTCGCTCGCGGCTTCCTGGAGGCGAGAAAGTATATCAGCAAGGAGGAAATCACTCGCTTCCTCGACGAACACCTTCGCGCTCGCATCGGCACCCGTCTCATCGCTGAGCAGCACATCGCCCTCCACTTCTCCTCTCAGCCACACGCTGATCTCTCCGACGCGTCCCCGCCGCCTCAAGATTCCACATACATTGGCGTCATAGACACACACCTGAAACCCGCCGACATCATTAAAGACTGCGAACACATGGTGGGAGACATCTGCGAGCTGAAGTACGGACTGAGACCGACCATCAATATCATTGGAGACCCCGAAACCACCATCGCACATATTCCCATGCATCTGGAATACATCCTCACCGAATTGCTAAAAAACAGTTTCCGCGCGACCATCGAAGCAGGGACGGAGAAGGAACCCATCGAAATCACCATAGCCCCCGCTCCTGCACCTGCAGAATTGACGGCACGCATGAAGTCCAAACACGGCGTTGTCCACCAAGCTGAACAGGAAGTGGAAAGAGCAGGTGGAATCAGCAACTACGACCAAGGCAATGTGGATTACGCTTCCAATGCAAACAAGCCAGCACTCGCCATGTCAGAGAACATTCGAGCCCTCGATCAAGCTACACCGGGCGTGACGATCCGAATCCGGGACCGAGGGGGTGGAATCAGTCCGGAAAACTTGGCAAAGTTGTGGGAATATGGCTTTACGACGTTCAATGAAGACGAGATGATGGATAAGATTAGTGGTAATGGGGGAGACGGGACAGCAATGTCGCCCTCCTTGGACTCCTTGAGTGCAGGGGGACCTGCAGGCGGGTCGAGTCTTGCTGGTCTGGGCTATGGCCTACCGCTCGGAAGAGCTTATGCCGAGTATTTTGGTGGGGGCATCGCGGTGCAGAGTCTGTGGGGATGGGGCACGGATGTGTATCTCAGTTTGCGGGGCGTAGGGAGATTGCAAGATGGGCGAAAGGAGGCGACGGAGCAAGAGGAGGGAGGAGAAGAAGAAGAAGCGCAGAAGAAATGGAAGTACGATGAAGGGAACAGGAAGGATCTTGGGGGCCGGTGGTAACAAAGTCGAGCAGACGAAAAAGATGCACGCTACTCTGCTGGGAAAGTCCACAGCAGAACAAAAAGCAGGACTGGATCATCACCTCTTCTGACCATGTCTGGCCGACGCTGCTGCTATGCTGCCGCGATCACGTGGCAGCGACCAGACGCACAAAAATGTGCTGCCCTCCGCAGCCCTCATGGTGATGTATGAGATGTTCCGTGTTATTTGCAGCATGAATCGGACAATAGTGACGAGGAATGAGAATATCAAGTTCATTCTGCCTGTGCCTGAGTGTAATAACCTTGGAGTGGCGACGATGTGTGAGTGCCTAGTGAACGAACAACGTAAGAGAGAGGGAACACATGTGGCTCCAAAGTGCATACATGATTGGAATGAGGTGTAGTCGGAAACAGGTATGCTTTGCCAGAACTCGTAGACTCGTGCGATGTCCCTGCCCAAGACTTTTGCAAACCATAGGCTGGACAGACCGACCCGCTCTACTGGCCTCGGTCCAGAGGGATCTCCGCCAAAGCTCGACACTTCATGCTCTGGCGACATCATCGCATATGATGATGCTTGTAAATCAATTGTTTTGTGCGCAGTGTAAGTTCTGCTATACATTAATTGATTCACTTTCACCTTGAAGCTCTCCGTAATCATCACGCCAGCCAGCTCTGTGCAGAAACACCTCACCCAACCAACCCATCTAGCAACACGGTCACCTCACTCCCAATATGCCCAAAGCATTGGTCATCGAAAAGGTCGAGGGCAAGCCCGGCAAAGTATACTACCCTCTCAAGATCATTGACCAGCCCGAACCTCAACCCAAGGACAACGAAGTGGTCGTCAAAATCACCTCGGCCGCACTCAACCACCGCGACCTCTTCATCCGCCAAGGACTCTACGGCGCCATCGGATTTGGCGTCCCTCTCCTCGCAGACGGATGCGGCATCGTCATTGCAACAGGAAATTCTCCCCAGGCGAAAAATTGGCAAGGAAAACGAGTCATTCTCAACCCAGGACATGGCTGGGAATCTGATCCCGAAGGGCCCGAGTCTTCCACCGGCTACGCCATTCTCGGAGGCACGACGTTGAACCCTCTCGGCACAGCCGTCGAAAAACTCGTCGTGGACGCTCGCGAAGTAGAAGAAGCTCCCGAACATTTATCCAGCAATGAAGCGGCCGCATTACCCCTCGCAGGTCTCACCGCGTGGAGAGCAGTGATGAGCAAAAGCGGCAGCCAAATCCAACCGGGAAGAAATATCCTCATCACGGGAATCGGAGGCGGAGTCGCTGTCATGGCGCTCTTGTTCGCTGTTGCTGCAGGCGCAAACGTCTACGTGAGTTCGGGGAGTGCGGAGAAGATTTCCCTGGCGACGAAGAAATTGGGCGCGAAAGGCGGAGTGAATTATCATGAAAAGGATTGGGATGCGAAATTGAAGGCCATGTTGCCTTTGTCGAGACCGAAATTGGATGCGATTATTGATGGGGCTGGAGGTGATGTGGTGCAGCGTGGTGTCAAATTATTACGGGTAAGAACAACAGCAACAGAAAAAATCATCTCCCTTTTCCTCCTCTTTCCCGGGCCACCTATACTAACCTCTTCCATCCATCCATCCTATAGGACGGCGGCATCATCTCCCAATACGGAATGACGACCTCCCCCAAACTCACCTGGAGCATGCCCGCGGTCCTCAAAAATCTCGAACTCCGCGGCTCCACGATGGGATCTCGACGAGAATTCTCCGACATGGTCAGATTTGTGGCGGCGAAAAATTTGCGCCCACTGGTGTCGCGGGCGGTTTCTTGCTGTGATGGAATGCAGAATTTGGAGGGCATTGAGGGCTTGTTTGAGGATATGAAGAGTGGGAAACAGTTGGGGAAATTGGTGGTGGAGATTTCCAAGGAGGGGGAGGGTGATAAGGGGAACTTGAGTAAGTTGTAGATGGGTGGGTAGGTAGTTGGGTATGTACATTACCTACCTACGGTAAGGTAGAGAAAGGTCAGGTGTGATACCTTAGGGTTTTGGTAATATAAGGTATGACTTTGAAAATGGACTATGATCGGTGGTGAAGCTGCTAGCAACCTTCAGGTACCTACCTCCTAAGCTACCCTACCTAATCCTGGTACATTTGGTACGGGTTCGGGTTGACTAGAGAAGGAGAAGAGGAATTTACGCGATTTATAGTTGAAGAGCGGCTTGATATTGCCAACCAGTTTTGCTTCGTTTCTAGCCCAACGTCTGTGCATTCCGCGAGATGTATGTGGTTTCGATGTATGACGCGAGTGTGCGGTGATAGAGAACGATTACATGTATGCATACCTGTATGCATACCTGTAGCATAGCATTATATTATGCTATGATGAACTGAGTCCAGAATCAAGCTAGGACCTGTGGTCATACTCCCGATTTCACTCTTTGCTGCTGCTGCTCGCCATGGATTACACCATGCCATCTTGGCCATAACAGCAACCATCTCCCTCCCATATCCATATACCCCATCTCATACACTATCCCGTCCTGTGCTGTATTCCACCTCTCTGTCGATTTCTTCCCGCACGTCTTTCTCACACCCTAATACCTACCCGACCAAGCCGTATGATCACCCTCCTGCTGCTTCTCCTTCTGCACAGCACCCGCGCCTGTCAAACCATTCGGATCACCTTCCAAAGCCGCCTTTTGCAACTGCTTAGTAGACATGGTCGAGTCCGTATTCGCCAACTTGTCCCTGGCGGAGGCCGGAGCGGGTGCAATTGCGGTGTCGGGAAGCTGAGGAGCGTCTTTTTTGAGAGCGGGGTCAAAGGTGTTTTGGAAGTGTGTTCCGGGTCCGGTCATGGTGGAGGGTTCGGGCTCGGAATCGGCGTTCAAGTAGTCGACTGCGGACTGCAAGGGAGAAGAAGCCGGGTTAGAACTTTGGTGTTACTTCGGGAGAAGGGGGAATAATGGTGGGTAATAATAGGTGCCTTACCTTGGAATCGACGGTTTGAGTCATTTTTGCTTTGTCTGTTGGAGACGGGGTGATGTGTTGGCGGTGTTTGGTTGTTGAGGTTTGTTTCGAGATGTAAACTGTCAGTGAGATGTGTTTCAGGAGGTGTTCTTCACTTGGACAAAGACAGGTACAAACTGCCAAGGGAAAGGAATGGGTTCCGCCTTCCACGCGAAGGTTCTCGTATTTAAATGGGGAAGTCACGGATGGATGTGAGGTACATGTAAGATACATGTATAGGTACTTCAATCTTCCGAACCTCATCTCATCACGAATGGATCCGCACCAAAGAACACTATTATTACAAGCACACCACTGAATCACGAATTCGCTCACTTCTCCAGGTAATAGCCCAAATTCCCGCCCTTGGCCTCACGCTCAGTAATTCCACCTCCCATGAACTCAAACCGATTCCGCTGATTCAGATATCTAATATCATAATCCTCCGTGCGGAACTCTTGCAGCAGGTCTCGGTAATGCAGCACGCTTCCAGCATACATGGCAGTCACTGGACCATCGGCCGTGTGATTCTTGTACCATGACCGACATCCGGTACTCCAGACCGTCTTCTTGAGGAACTCTTGGGAGTATTCATTATACTCTCGGAGCGCATCCGGCTTCACTGTCATGGACTTGATGCCCTGCCTCGCGATTTTGGAGCACCATCTCATAATGTAATCTGCAGCGGCATCATAGTATGCGATGAGACTGCCGTGTCCCAGCGGGCTGTTGGGTCCGGTGAACTGGTCAAAGAAGTCAGCATTTGCAGGCAAGCGGCAAGAAGGAGTCTCAGTCACCACCTACCATGAAGTAATTGGGCATTTCTGGTGCAGAGATGCCCATGTAGGCCTCCGGAAGGTCCTTCCACAAGTCCTGGAGACTGGCACCATTGAGACCAACCATCTTCCACGCGGGCTTGAATGTCACGTTGAATCCGGTGGCACAAATGATCAGGTCGAATTTGGTCTCCTCTGGCGCCGTGTCCGCCGGTGGTTGCGTCAAGATGCCCTCTTCCGTGAGCCGCACAATGGGATCAAGCCGGACCTTCACATTTTCCGCAGTCAGTGCTTTGATATAGCTATCTCCGGGGCTGATTCTGCGGCAGCCCACGGGAAAGTCGGGTAGCAGTTTCTGTGTCAACTCAGTGTCACCGCCGAGTTTCTGCTTCATGAGATCGCCAAACATCTGCCGAACCGCCTGTTGCTGGGCAGAGTCCTTGAAGAAGCAGAAGAAGTACAGGTTGAATGCGTGCTCCATCTTCTGGCGAAGCTCTTTGAGCTCTTCTGGATTCTCTCTGAATCGCTTCTTGTCTTCCTCCGAGTACGTGAAGTTCTTCCCCTCAGGAGTCATGTCGGAGAGGAAGTTCGGGATGATCCATGTGGGTGTACGGATATACGTATCGATGCTCTTCGCGGTGCGCTGCACTTGGGGCAGTATCTGAATCGCCGATGATCCGTTACCGATGAGTGCCACTCTCTTGTCGTTCCAATCCACCTTCTGCCAGTCCGCGCTGTGGACCAGGTCGCCACGGAACTTTTCCAGATCTGGAATATCGGGCCATTGCCATTGGTTCAGGAAACCAGCGCCATTGATCAGGACGTCTGCTTCTTCACTGAATACTTGTCCGTCACGCTCGATCTGGAGCTGCCATTTGCCACTCTCTTCTGACCACGTGGCGGAAGTCACTTTGGAGCTGACCTGAACGTAGTCTCTCAGCTTGTACTCGTCGACCGTCTTGTTGATGTAATCCAGGATCTCTTGGCCGCCGACATAGAACGAAGACCAATCTGGATTGGGTGCGAACGGGAAGCAATACTGCGAGACTGGTCAGACGACGACGACGATGACGAAGAAGGAATCTCGTTGCCACCAACGTACAATGTGTGCTGGAACATCGCAAGCTACGCCTGGGTAGCGATTCTCGAACCTAGTCTCGTCAGCGTGCACTGAGGGGACGGGAGTTCTTCGGATGTCTCTTCAAGCATACCAAGTGCCCCCAATCTCTGGATTCTTCTCGTAGATGACCAGGTCCATATAGCTATGGTCTCCCATATGCTTGTGCTTATGTGCCAACGTCAGATTGGCAAACCCTGCCCCGACAGCCACGACACGGAGCTTTCGCGGGGTGAAGAGGGGCTGGTCGCCCGCAACGACTGCAGTGGATGCCATGGTATGGAGAGTTGTATAGGACTCTGCGAATAAAGAGGATCGTGTCTACTTACATGTACTACATGCACCTACGGTATATATGCGAGATAGGCCAGTCGCCTAGACGGCCAGCGTTCGCAGCATCTGGTGGATTGAGGCATGGAGAAAGTTCACAATCCCTGGTCAGGCAACAAGATATCAGCCTGCTATATGACAGCCGGGCGTGTGTTCCATGTCGCACGGCAGTCTGAAGATGATGGAAGTGCATCGGAACGCTCTCGGGAGGCCAGTGGCGTGCATCGGAACAAAGTCTAATGGACATGGCTCCGCACGAAATCTCCGCATCCATCTGATCCGTCTCATGTACCCCGCAATTGTATCTCCATACCAATGACTGTTGGCACTGACTGTTCCACTGCTCGGCACTGCTCGGCACTTGACTGCTTTCTTCACTTTCAGCAGGAGGATGAGCATGGGGGCTGGCAGATATGAGCATGACGGGCCGCACGCGCTGCAGCCAGGCGTGTGAAGAGTGCAAGCGCCGCAAAGAGCGCTGCGATGGAAAGTTCCCGTGCATGTTGTGCGTCCGGCGCGGCAGAATCGAAGCGTGCCATTATATCCAGAGCCAGAGCCAGGCGCATAATGGGCCAAGAGTCCAGAAACGACGTCGGTCTACCACCGTCACCACCACCACCACCATCACCAACATCCACGCCGCCGCCGCTGTCGTGGGGGGACGAGACCACTCCCACGATTCGGTCTCTGTTGTCTCTGTCGCCACTCGCTCCACCCCCCATGCGGCGGTGGGCCGCCAGCCCGTCTTTACCGGTGAATCCGGTACGCTGACCTTCCTCAGAGCAGTGGGCTCATGTGTCGAGGATGCTGTGCCCTCTCATACATTCGCAGCGGGCTGCAGGAATCAGTACCTCGTGGAAGACATGCCTCCTATACAATGTAGCCACGCCATGCTGTCCATTTCTGACGAGGATCGCAATGAGCTTGCTCACTTCTACTTGAGCTCCACGACTGGTATCTTCGACATGTTTGACAGTGGCGAAGTACTCGAGGCCGTCACGTGCTGGGACTACTCCTCCGTGGAGGAAGTTACATGTAGTATGGGGGATGCAACCACCAGACTCATCTTGGCCATCGGCGCCCAAGGGAGAGGTGGTGTTGGCGACAGCGAACTGGGCGAGCAGCTGTTCCTCGATGCACAAAAGATGGCCATGCGCCATATGCTGGAACCTTCGACTCTTCCTTTTGTGCAAGTCTCCACGTTGCTAGCCCTATACTTGTTCTTCGTCTGTCGACGGACCGTAGCGTATACGCACCTGGGCATTGCGATCCGCGCCGCAGAAAACATCGGTCTCCACCAATTCGATGTCATCTCCAGCTTACCCGAGAAGGACCAATTGAAGAATCTCCGAGCGTGGAAATGTCTTCGCATCTTGGACCTTTCCAGCTGTGCATCCCTCGGACGAACTCTGGGAACGCATAGCTCCGCAGATGGAGATTTCTCCATGCAGGCATCTTTCTCTCGCATCGAGCACGGTGCCCTCGCGGCTCAAATCGACTCTGCGGGTATGCAGCTCTGCAACATTGCCGAAACGATATTGGTGCAAGTCTATGAAGTAGACAGTTTGACGACCCAGCTGGCATATCAAATATCGCAAGAGCTACGAGCTTGGACCCATCACCTACCAGACATCTTGGTCCCAGGCACGGGTCGAGAGATTGATCTCGATGCCAACATGCCTGAAGCTCTGTGCTTGAATGCACTGACAGGTGCCTACTACTGGACGATCCAGCTCCTGACGAGGCCATTTCTTCTTGCGGCTGTGCGGTCAAAACAGCAGCAGCAGCAGCAGCAGCAAAACACAGCCTCTGTTCAAAGCGGACCCAACCCCGACCACCAACCTTTTATCGACGCCTGCATCAACTCGGCATTCCGCTGTCTGGACGTCACGATCAAGTTGACCCAATATCAATCTTTACCGAAACGGCTCTTTCTCGCAAACAACACCACTTTAGCTTCCGCGCTCGTGCTAGGCTTAGCCTTCTTCGGCGATTACGACCAACACTTCCCGCTCGAATCAGGCCTACACAAAGCTTTGATCTTTCTGCGGCACATGGAAGTCGATGCCCAGGCCCAGCATTATGCCACGATCGTATCGGACCTTCTCGACGCGGGAAAATGTTATGTGGAAAAGAGGAGTAAGGAAAAGCTCGAGAGTCGGAGCGTGGAGGTGGAGATGATATTTGGGAGTGTGCACGAGAAGCACGAGGGAAGAAGTAGCCATGAGAATCATAGCAAGGAGGAGTTGTCGTCGTCGTCGTTATGGTCTGTTGCTCCCGATGAGCATCGAGGGAGCAGTGGAGGGGCGTTCAATACTGGCGATTGCATTGGGGCGTTTTGCGGCTGGCAGTTTGATGGGGATGGGGTATCTACATGATTTGGTATTGTTTGGGTACCTGTAGGGAGTTGAACACTCTGTGTAGGTAATGTCTAAGGTACTTTTTGCTATGCGAATTGAGCGAGCGGCTTACTTGATTAGGCATAAGCTGCGATATCCACAGTACACGGACATTATTCCCGCCAACTCCTCTCCTTCTGGGCCCGACTTCCATCTCCTTGGACATCATCCTCCCCTTCCTCCTCCTCCTGGACTCCTGCAACTTCAAACATCGCATTCCAATAACAATAAAGACAACGACAACGACATGAACAAGATGACTTCCCGCAGTTGGAACCAGAATGATGGCTACGGCGCCTGCGTCATCGAACGCCTCGATTTGTAAATATATCTCCATTCTCGGCCGTCGACAATCAAAAGGAAACATAACCAAACCTAAACAACGTCCCGAAAGAATCAGCTGCACCTGAATTTCCACCTTCCAAGGAGAAAGAATGGTTCACTCAAGTCTGCGAACACATGACCGTTGTTTTGTGCTGCCCTACAGCCTCTTGGCGGTGAAAAGCCGCGCCAACGGTTATGGTCCCATGGTCTCAGATCAACGGTCGGCCAGAATCGCGTGGCTGTGAGCAAATTGCACCATCAATCCTCCGAAGGGCACTTTTCTTTCATCTTTCCGACATGGTGAGGGCAAGACTTCCAATTGATGATTGAGTCGTTGTGCCAAGTTGATTTGGGCCACTTTCGGCGCCATGCCATTCATATTCACATTCATACTCATATTATCCGGGAAAGACATGTGGGATCAAGGTCCAACGGACGCGTTCTGGAGCTATGCCGTTGTCGATTTTGCCACTCGCATGGCTGGACTGACCGCGTATAACTGGATCGTTGCATCGCATCTTCAACGCTGTTGCCTCCATGCCATAGCAACCGCACACCGGTGTGTGTCGTGTGTGTAGTCGGCGAATCCATTCTGGGCCATGGAGGGACTGATCAGCTGTTGCGCGGTTCTACTTTGGTTTCGCGGCGACCAGAGTTGGCCGTATAGTCCGAGATCGAGCAGCTATTATTGCCACAGCTGACCTCCTCACTTGGTCGCGAGACCGGTGATGACCGACTTCGTTTGCGCTCATTGTCCTACTATACCTCTCAGCCTGACGGTTGGCACTGGTCTCCATGACAGCAACATGCGGTCCCATGGGCGACTGCACCGCCGAATTCGATATGGCCCTGCGTCCCATTGTTCACCGGAACCGACGAGTTGACAACGTCGTCTTCACAATCTTCATAAATGGCGAGTCATCTGCTCCGTATGCTCTGGATAAGTCTGCCATCTGATTTTTCCCACACTGGTCATCTTCAACCTCCGGAATAACTGAGTTTCTAAGCCGAAAACAGTTGACCTGCCACTCGCTCTGCCACTCGTCACAAGCAACGTGGGACGCTCACAAGCGACGCTGACTTTAGTATCACGTCAGTACATATATCCTCAGTCCCCTCGTTCTGACTGTTGTTACTGCTGCTTGAATTTACGCTAACAATGCACAATTTCATATCATTACTGCCGTTTTCTCTGCTATCTTTGCTGCAGCTTGCTAGCTCCGCGCCAGTCGAGAAGCTACTGACCCCTCCCGCAGTAGAGGTCGTGGTAAGGGACTATAATACTCTCAATGCAACCACGTGGAATGGCCTACCAGGGCCGCCCGTCACAGAATCGACCGACCTAGACAGTAGCAGCAGCATCAACAACAACGCAGCATTTGCCGTCAAGGTCCTTCCCGAGGCCACCGCCACAAGCACGAATGATAATGCTACCACAGGCGGCACCGGTCGCCTCATACCCAATCCCCTTGCGCGGATGGTGGCCTCAGCCAACCTCACGTCTAGCAGTGCATCCAGGCTTCCGCCAGACGCAGATCCCCTGGCGACGGCTGCGGCCAGTGGCGTGCTCACCCTGAGCATCGTGAACAAGTGGCCCAGCGAAAAGGTGCATGTGTACGTTACTGGTCTGGATCCCAGGGGAGCTCTGGTCATGCTGGGTCAAGACGGCAGGTATTTGTATCCTACCACATACTCGACGACTCCTGTCGAAGTCACTGGAGACATTGCGATTCCCGTGGGCAAGCCGAATACGACCTTGGCATTGACCCTCCCCGACTACATCTCCAGCTCTCGGGTGTGGGTCGTCGACGGCTTCCTGCAGTTCTATGTCGTGGCCACGCCGAATGGACCTGGACTGGTCGAGCCCTCGGCCGTGAATGCTGCTGACCCGAGCTCTCAAAAGAATTATGGGTTTGCAGAGTTGTCGTATGCGGCATCCTATGGCATCTACGCCGACATCACCGCTGTCGATTTCGTGGGCTTGCCCTTGGGGATTGAACTTGAAAGTGCCAACAGTCGGAAGCAATCGATCCTCGGCACACCAGCGAACGCCGCCACGACTCTCTGCAACTCCCTGACCGCGCAGTCAAAGAAAGACAACCAACCCTGGGATCAACTCTGCGTACGCGACTCCAACAACAAGCTCGTCCGAGTTCTCGCCCCTTCCAACCTCATCTCCCAGCGACCTTCTGCATTCCGCCAGTACTTTTCCCGCTACATCAACAACGTGTGGACCAAATTCTCCCAAGAAGACCTCATCATCAACACGCAAACCACCGCCGGAAACGTCACCTGTCGCGTCCGCAACAACCTCCTCCAGTGCGCCGGCGACAACCGCGCCCACACCAAACCCGTCGCCGCCGACATTTTCGGCTGCGACAGCGGGCCCTTTCTCGTCCAACCCACCGACAACGCCATCCACCTCGCCGTCATCCCCCGCTTATGCGCCGCCTACAACCGCGCGACATTTTTTCTCACCGGAGGGAATATCCAACCGAATCTCGGACCGGAAGATTATTATCGTAGTCCTCGCGCGGGACCGAATGTCGGGGGGCCGAAGAATTGGTATTCGAAATTTGTGCATGATATTGAGGCCGAGGGGAGAGGGTATGCGTTTGCGTATGATGATGTGGCGCCGAGATATGAGGTGGATCAGAGTGGGTTGGTGGCGAGTACGACGCCGAGGTTGTTGAGGATTATTGTTGGGGGGACATAGAATGGAGGGAGAGGGGGGTTGAATAGGGAAGAAGAGGAGGTCGGAATGATAGAAGGTGGAAAGAGGGGGGAAAGATACGAAATAAAGGGGGAAGAGATGGATTTCCAGACTTTTCTTTTTGTTTTTTGTTTTTGATCTTGTTTTTGGGAGGGGCGCGAAGGGCAGAACAGGGCAGGGCGACCTCGTCTTCTTTTCCTTTTTTTTATTGGTCTTTCATTCCTTTTCTATTCTTTCATTTCTCGCCCTGCAGAGGGATTGATGATGATGATGATTTATTGATGGATGGATGGACTATTTTGTGAACGACGTGTCCATGGACACGAAAGCTAGACGGAATTATTTATAATCATCAACGACCGTACCGACTTTCCCTTTTTTTCTTGATTTCGATATTCTTCTAGACAATTTAGAAAACTACCTAACCTTCCAAGTTATAATTACTTTTTTTTTGTTTTTTTGTTTTAAATTTTGCATGTGTTCTTCCTCCAGCTCTCCCTTAAGGTATATATATATATATGAGAATTTGACGTCGTTCGTCTGTTTGTTCAGAGAGAGAGAGAGAGAGAGAGAGAGAGAGAGAGAGAGAGCATAGATGGGATAGTATAGAAGAAAGGAAAGAAAAATAAAATTGTTCCACCTACCTACATTACTGTTCCCATGAAGTGTCCGAGGTCTGTTGCGAAGTGTGGAGGTCATGATGAGATTAGGTAGGGATGGATGGAGGGACCACGAAGGTTTCATAGTACGCATGAATCATAGACGCTTCATACACTGGCTTTTCTCTCGTCAGTAGAGAGCTCTTCGATGACAGCGTTGGGCGACTCAAGACGCGAGTGGAAGAACTAGGTGCAAGCCAGAAGGCGATGCAAAGAAAGGATCCACATGGTGCTGGTCCTTGTCAGACGCAGCAAATAGTGCTGACAGATCGAAAGACAGACGATGCTCTTGTCGTCTTCCAGATTACGGTATCGCTCCAGTGCGAAATTTGGACTGGTGGACGACGACGGACTTTTGAATCGCAGCCAAAAGTCGCGCTTTCGGGGTGCGTGTGCCAGTCCGGTGGGAGGAACGTATTCTCTCCGGATGGGTTCCAATGCAGCGCGAGTATGTATATGGGTATCACAGGTGGTAGCAAGACCTCCCTTTTTTTCTTCTTTCGTCTCACTTCTTCCCTCTTGCCCTTGCAGGTCGGGCATTCCCTCTCCCTCGCACACCCCTCGTGCTCCTCGAACTCGTCCTCGGCGCAGGAGTACTCGCCTGACTCTGGTTCTCGCTCGCACTATTCTCTCCTTCATCCTCTTCCTCTCCTCCTGCTCCCCCTACTTCACCTTCTTGTTCACCAGTAGCCTCCTCCTCATCAGCCGTGCTCTCTGCCTGCCTCGCACTCCTTCTGGTGGTCGTGGAGGCAATTTTCGGCATACTCTTCCTCCTCGCACCAGCAGCCGCACTCTTCCCCTTTTTCGATGCCACTGTTGGGGCTTCGCTCGGTTCCACACTCACGGTAGCCACAAATCGCACAGGCGGATCTTCGGCGAGATTCAACTCGGGGAGTTCGGCGTCGCTCTCCTCGCGGTTATTCGGAGGGGCCAATCTGCGCTTCCACATTTCCTTCTCAAAGCCCTCTCCCGGCGGCAAGGCGAAATCATCTCCTTCGATCCTGTTCTCCGCTTCACTGTAGATGTCATCGTCGAGAATCGTGCCTGGGGCATCCGGGTCCGAAACATCCCAAGCAGGCAGTTGTCTCGCATCTTCTCTCGCATCCAAGGCGTCCATGTTGTATAGCGTCTCCAGCTTGGTTCGTATGCCTTTGGGTTTGGTATGCTCGTTCCGAGGATGAATGTAGTTGTTTTGGAGTAGCCAGGCATGTAAGGCGAGGAGGCGGAAGTGTTTGTGCATGCCGGTGGGCTTCCAGATCATCAGACCTTTGAATAGGCCAATTTCTTCGTGGTCGCTCCATGGGTCGTCCAATAGCATTCGTGGTTGTTCCGAAAGAGGTTTGTTCGGGGAGGAGGCGGAGTGGTGGGACGACGGTGGTGCATCGGGAGTCTTGTGGCGGGATGTCGAGGGCGAGGGAGAGGGACGGGGTTTCTTGCGAGGCGGCATTGCTGTCACAGTCACAGTCACGGGTCACGAGTGATTTGCATGTGATAGAGGACCAAGTGAAGTCTGGGGAAGGGAGACGCGAATGGCAGTACTTCGGTAGAGGTAGCTCCAGGCACACGCGACGACGATGACATAGCCAAGCTTGAGCTCCACTTCCAGTTCTTGAGCTTTCAGTCTGTTTGGACAGAAGGACATGGGTGCCCTGGCATCATGTGACATGAGTCATATGAGATAACAGGGGCCACTGATTCCTTGGCATATGTATGTAGAGTTGGGGATACCCACCCCCCCTCTTTTCTCTTCTTGAGAGGTCAGACCTCGGACCTCAATTAATCCACTTATTGATTGGTATTCCATCAATCTTCTCAATTGGGCACTAGTGTGGTGTGTGGTTCCAACAGTTATGAGCCCGGCTAGCTCTGCTTGATTAATCAAAGGAATCAATTGGTTACTGGATATCTCCCGGAATCACCTGAGATTGATCAAAATCCGCTGTATCAAGAAAACCCGAGGACCGCACACCATCACTTTATGCCGGCCCAAACCCGTTCATCCAGAAGAAGAGAAGAAAGCCCGAGCCCATCAGATCAGCTCACAATCGACCGATCCCCGAGTCCTGAGTTTCAAGAGGTTGAAGAAACACCCAGTAGCTCGTGTCCTGGGCATCAAGAGTGGTTTGACGAATTCAACGAAGACACCATGGCTGATTCACCGGAACCCTCATCATCAACGACGACGTCGATTGCCAAGCTGCGCACCTGGCAGGACTGGAATGTGTGGATCACCCACATTGAGAACGAGGCAGAGGCCCTCCAGATATGGGATGATATCAACCCAGGAGTTGATGAACCAAACCCAGAAGCCCCTATTCAGTCCAGAAGACAACCAGTCTTTGATTTCAACTCCCTTCCTGATGACGTTACACCAACAGCTCTCAGCCTTGCTCAGTTCAAGCATAGGTGTAACAAGGAGGCATGGGAACTCAAGCAAAAGGGGTATCAGAGGATCTCATCAATGATTAACCAGTCTCTGTCTCCAGACCTCCAGCACAGGGTAATCAACTGCAAGACTCTGAGAGAGAAACTCAAGAAGCTCTCAGAATACACCAAGCCCAACACCCTTGCTGCCACTCAGTTGTTGAAGAAAGAGTTGGAAACCCTTTCTCACCCACCATATGGAAAGTCTATTCATGACCATATGCACCTTTGGTTCACTTGGTGTAGCAAGAGAGATGCTGTTGGTACACAAGCAGACAATGAATCCACCCAAGCATGGTTGTCTTCTATGACTCCAATGTATGGAGACTATGTGGCCACAAGGACAGGCAGGCTGCTTGATAAGCAGAATGATGGGGAGGTGACACCTCTCCATTCAGAATTGAGAGCCTGGCAGTCCTACTTTCAGCACAATGGTGACACCAAATTCAAGAGCAAGCACAGAACCACTGTTGCCAGCATCTCCTCTGCAGCTGCTGCCGAATCTTCGTCCTCAACTCGATCATCCTCCTCTTCAAGAAAGCCCTGCCTCTGTGGTAGGAACCACATGTGGAAGGAATGCTACTACCTCAATGCCGAGTATCCGAGGCCTGAGGCATGGAAGCCAAGAGATGATACCAAGAGGAAGATTGAGAAGAGATTCAAGGAGGACAAGAACCTGAAAGAGAGAGTGGACAAAGCAATTCAAGCTTACAACGCTGCTCAAGGCCAAGGGTCGAAGGACAAAGACACCAAGAACAAGTCAGGTATAGCCGCAGAACTCGAGGACACTGCTGCTGCTGCCACCCTGGAATCGACCCCTGAGGCATCTGTTGGATCAATTGGTCACACCCGGCTCTACAACGCAGTGATTCTTGATGGTGGTGCCAATGTGCACATCATCAACGAATCCATGAGGGCAAGGATCGTCAGATCTGAGTTACCAACCTCCTCTGATATAGTGATATCTGGGGACAAGAGGTACCAACCTGAGGCAATTGTTGATGCCACCATCAATCTGGATATGGGTAATGGAGTTACCAGGAAGCTCACTCTTCTCAAGGCAAGGCTCATTCCGGGATTCTTCACAAGTTTGGTCTCACTGCAGATCCTCAACAAGAAGGGTATTCACCATGATACCAGAAACTGGCCAGACAAGTTGATTACTGGCCAAGCACATGAGGAGCCCAGGCTTTGGGCATGCCTCACCCCTGAACACAGTGACGACAGACATGGTCACTGGATTATTGAACGATTGCCTGCAACAAGAAGTGTTGCTGGGACCACTGGAATTCCTGTTTTATCTGGAACCCCTGGAATTGAGGAGGTGAAGTCAGTATGCACCCCACACTCTGAGAATGCGGGGAAATCAACCTCACCTGCCTCAACGTCACCTGCTGGATCTGTTGCTGCTGCACAATCCAGTCATAAACCACTTCCACCTTTGACAGCAACGGCCAATCAGTGGCATCAGTTGCTGGGCCATCCATCTGTGAGGGCCATTGAGAACCTGGAACCTGCATCTGAGGGTTGCCAGGTAATTGAGTCTGAGAAGGAGACTCTAAACAGTGTCAATTGTGACACCTGCTTGCTGGCCAAGGCCAAAGCAGTGATTTCGAGAAGGAAGGACAAGCACAGAGAGGTGCTGCCTGAGGCAGAGAATGCCAAGATGGCTGTCTGTTCATGGGATCTCATTGATATGACCCCTTCTCTCCCTGGACCAAATGGATTGGTCTTCAAGTTTTACAGCCACTGGTACTATGACCAGGAGGGCTATCATGTAGGTGAACCTGTGGCAACCAAGCCACAAGCAGTTGCCAAGTTTGGAGGACACTTCAAAAGGATGGAAGTGTCATTTGGTGCTCAAACCATCCTGGTCCGCTCTGATATGGAGGCTACCATTGGGAAGGATGCTGGAAAAGCCATATCCAGGTTAGGTATCACCACTTTGCCCACTGCTGCTGATACCCCTGCCCAGAATGGAGCAAGTGAGGTTGCTGGAAGAGAAATTGTTACCAAATCCAGGACTCTCAGGATTGATGGCCATTTGCCTAAGAACCTTTGGCCATGGCTTATGGATTCAGCTGTTTACCTACTTAACAGGACCCCTACTGCCAAACTCAATTGGATAACTCCATTTGAGAAAGTCACAACCAAGAAGCCCTTCCTTGGCCATCTCCACCCCATTGGTTGCAAGGCCTTCGCTCTCCGCAGAGACATTGCCAAGAGAGACAAGATGGAAGAGAGAGCTCACATTGGGTACCTGATTGGGTATGCCTCCACCAATATTTTTTGGATCTGGATTCCTTCACTCAATAAGGTAATCAGGACAAGAGATGTGGTGTTCAAGGATAATGAGAGGTACAATCCTCTGGATATCAATGGACAAACCTTGGGGGAACTGGTTCCTGCTGCCATTCACCAGACTGTGATTGATTCAATCTCAATGCCTGAGGAATCAACAAGTGAGGGCATGGATGACCCCTTTCTGGCTACAAATATTCCGACTTTTGCTGTCCAACCTCAAGGTGGTGAACAGCAGGGAGGTGAGATGCCAGAACAGGAATCATCATACCCAACGCCGCCGGAGACACCCGCCAGAGACGAAGACAATGTGGCTGCCAACCAAGGTCAAGTTGGTCAGGCCCCGGGGGCCTCACCGGGAACACCCGCTTTTTCGGTCTCTCATCAGCACCCTGCCTCAGATGGGGAGGTGGAAGAAAGTACCTATTGGTACAGTGTGGACAACCATGGACAGTGGATCGACTATGGAACTGGACGGTTGGAAGATTACCTGGATGAGTTGAGTTGTGCAGCTGCCACTTCCCTCCAAGCTTACAATCCACCCACTCTCAAGGATCCTCACCAAGTAACAAGCTCACTGTCACCCCCTGCCAATTGGAGAGAGATGGAAAGGCATGTCCATCATCAGCAATTCAGACAAGCAGCATTTGATGAAGCTGGAAAGCTTATGGGCAAGAGGACATTCAGGGTATTCTTTGGTCACAAGGGCCACAAAGTACCATTGGTCTGGGTATTTGCTTACAAGACAGACCCCTCAACTGGTGAGATTCTCAGGTACAAGGCCAGGCTTTGTGTCCGTGGGGATCTTCAATTGCCATCAACTCATGAAACCTATGCTGCCACTTTGGGGTACAAGGTATTCAGGGCCATCACTGCCCTGGCTTTTGCAAGGAGGTTGAAGACCAGGCAATGGGATGTGGTCAATGCATTCCCAAATGCTACCATTCCTCACACTGTTTACTGCTCAATTCCTGAGGGAATGGAGGAGTATGGATTTGGACCAGATGCCTGCTTCATCCTTGAGAAGGCTCTCTATGGATTGGCTGAGTCACCTCGCTTGTGGTATGACCTGTTTGTTATGAGAATGGAAGACTATGGCTTTGAGTTGGTTCCTGGAATTGACTGCCTGATGGTAAACATGGATCTTCGTCTGCTCATGGTTTTCTATGTGGATGACATCAGGTTGATCTATGAGAGTGATGAACAAGCCACTTTGTTCAACCAGTACCTGGTTTCCAACTTTGAGGTTACTCAGAAAGACCCCAATTTCTTCCTGGGTACAGAGGTGGAGGAATCACCTGATATCCTGACTCTGAGCCAGACTGCCTACTTGACGAAAATTGGCATCAAATTTGGTGTTCATGAGAGGACTCGATTTCCAGAGACACCACTTCCTACTGGAAACCTGGAACCTGCCACTGATACTGCCAGGCCTGACTTCATCAAAGGGTATCAGATGAAGATTGGTTCTATTGGTCATGCTGCTGTTTTAGCACGCCCTGATGTAGCAAAAGCACATGCCACTCTTTCTCAATTCTTGAAGAACCCAAGCCAGGCTCATATGGACGCTGCCAATCACCTGCTTGCCTACCTATATGGTACTAGAGAGATGAAGCTCCACTTCCATAGGGAGAAGCCCAAGATGGAACTGTATGTGGATGCCTCATTTGGTGACAACCCAGACAGGAAGAGTTCTCAGGGATTCTTGATGATGATGTATGGTGGAGCCATTGATTGGCAAGCAACCAAGCAGAAGACAGTCACCAAATCAACCGCAGAGGCAGAGTTGTTGGCACTCTCATCAATTGCGGGTAATGGGTACTGGTGGACTCGACTTTTCTCGGAATTTGACAAGGTATTTCCACCTGGAAATGAGCCATCTGGGGAACCTGTCAAGGATGGAACCATAGGTGGAACCAAGGTTTTCTGTGACAACCAACGTGCAGTGGACATCGCCAATCACAAGCATGGATCTCTCAACACGGCTTTGAGACACGTTGATATCCACCAACACTGGGTAAGACAGGAAACAATGGCAGGAAGATTGACCGTTGAATGGATTGGTACTGCCAAGCAACGAGCTGATGGCTTCACAAAGAACCTCCCCAAGGGGTCATTCCAGTCATTCAGGACAAGCCTGGGGCTCAGGTAAGTAAGGATATGGACATGGTTGATCATTAGATTGAGATGGACGGTCACCATGTCTGGTATTTCAGCTTTTCTTATGTAATCAAGCTGAGGGAGGTGTGTTTGGACAGAAGGACATGGGTGCCCTGGCATCATGTGACATGAGTCATATGAGATAACAGGGGCCACTGATTCCTTGGCATATGTATGTAGAGTTGGGGATACCCACCCCCCCTCTTTTCTCTTCTTGAGAGGTCAGACCTCGGACCTCAATTAATCCACTTATTGATTGGTATTCCATCAATCTTCTCAATTGGGCACTAGTGTGGTGTGTGGTTCCAACACAGTCCCAGTTCCCTTCCAGTCTTCCTTCTCGGAATATCCTAACAAGACCACTTCCTCACCCGTATACAAACACACAACTCTCACCAATCGAGCTGCCTGCGATAGAATTCCACGCCCCGACTGGTACCACCAGACACACTCGCTCACCTCACCACGCTCACTATGGGCGGCTTCCTCGACCGGTACGCGTTCCGGGAGCTCTGCTTCGTCGATTTCGAGAACATCGCTCACCATGACACCTGTATAGCATCTTCGATACGTCGAGCAGTCACCGCGACCACCGCCATGGCCTGACCGACGAGATGTCCCGACTGCTGCCCACGCACCGAGAGGCCAACGTCTCGTCGGCGTTCCCCGCCAAGGCCGTCACCTTCGTCGCCCTCCGCCTCAAATACCAGCTCGAGCAGGTCATTCCCTGCGAACTGCCCGAAGAACGCATCACCGCTCCGCACAGCGGTGTCATCACGCCCGCCGTCATCAAAACTGCCAAGTCCGCCGGCAAAGTCTCCGGCTCCGAAGAGGACTACGGATCTGCCGTCGTGTACTGCCTGCTCATCGTAAAGCATTGGTTCAAGAGACAGGCGCTGCTCGAGCTGTGGGATGCAGACCTCCATGAACTGCGAGCGACTGCATGCGAAATGATCGCTAAGCACATCATCGAAGACGAAGATGACAATGAATACCTCATGCAGGAGGTCCTGCTGAAACGCTACAGCATTGTTGTCGATGGGGAAGATACGCACCCTGCGAATGCGATAGAAAAGGCCGTCGATCTGCATGCTGTGCGGGTGATAGGGAGCTCGGGCTATCAAAAATGCATTTCACATCTATGGCGGGGCTGGCTGGTGCAGGATGAGGAGGATCCGAGCAGGTTCACCGACTACAAGCTGAAGACGAGCACCAACTACTGGGACCATTTCGATCCAGATCGCATGCGAGTGCCACAGTATCAGAACGGACTGCAGATTTTCATCTCGCTCGCTTTTCTTGCTCTCTACACTGGTGCCATCAATACCATCAACGCGGGAGGTGAACTGGATATTGTGGAAGGCCTGCTCTACCTCTTCACCGCCGGCTTCATCGCAGATGAGCTCTCCAAGTTCCTCAAGATTGGCCGCTTCTACTTTGGCTTCTGGAATGTCTTCAACCTGACTCTGTACGCCCTACTCTTGGTGTCTTTCGTTCTTCGCATGATAGCCCTGGGCCATCAATGGAACTCACCTAGACGATTCCATCTCAACGAACTATCCTACAACTTTCTCGCCTTCAGTGCGCCCATGTTCTGGACGCGCATGATGCTCTACATGGATAGTTTCCGCTTCTTCGGCGCCATGCTGGTCGTGCTGAAGGTCATGATGAGGGAATCTCTCATCTTCTTCGCCCTTCTCATCGTGGTCCTGGCTGGTTTTTTCCAGGGCTTCATTGGAATGGATCAAACCGACGGCAATATCACAGCCTCCAACTTCATCACCAAGATGATGCTCAACGCCATCATGGGCTCACCCGAATTCGACGATTGGGACAACTTCGCTCCACCCTTTGGCATTACCCTCTACTACATTTACAACTTTGTCATCATTGTCATCCTCCTCAATATTCTCATCGCTCTCTACAATAGCGCATACGAGGACATCACTGGAAACGCGACCGACGAGTACCTTGCCCTGTTTGCCCAAAAGACAATGCAGTTTGTTCGAGCTCCTGATGAGAATGTGTTTATTGCGCCTTTCAATCTCATCGAGATCGTCTGCTTGATCATCCCCTTCGAATGGTGGATGCCGCGAGCAAAGTACGAGAAGTTGAACGACTACGTCATGGGCGTCATCTACTCGCCTCTCCTCCTGGTCACCGCATTATTGGAGACTCGAACCGCACGGATTGTCAAGTTCAACCGATCAAGGCAAGAGTCTGATGATGACACCATCGAAGTGTGGGAGCAACTGGAACCCGAACTCGACGTGGAAGGCACGGGCTGGTCTAAGAGAGTGGACGATACTTCTCCAAATGTCGTTGTCGATGGCACATTGCTCGAAGTGAGGAAGCTGATTGATGAAGTCAAAGAGCTGAAGACTATGCTCAGGGAACTCACACCTGCCCCAGAGAGTCGGCCGACGAATGGATCGCCTAGCACCGGGCAGGCGTCTTAGTATGATGCATGTGATCTACTGAAAAGTGGTTTCGATCAGGAATCGATAGATGCGCGAGTAGCTGCAACCGTGCCGGACAAGCCTACAAGGAGGGCAAGCACCGGTCCGATACCTGTTAACAGGGGCTGGTGGAAGGGAGCTCCGAGCTCAACGTATAAGCGAAACTGAAGGAGTGGTAGTGGAACGACGAGTTCGCAAGGAGTAAGATCACCCGACCCCAAACCCAAGAAACCAATGCGAGAATTGCCTACGGAGGAAATACCATCTTCTCGGATCACCGTTGTATCTCTATCAATTGATATTCCTTCAGTTCAGGAGGAACTAATGCAGCAGGAAAAATTTGGGTAATACAACTCCCACATCCAATCTGGAATTCCGGCCCCATTCACCGCCTAGAAGCTCATGGAACGTGAATGGGCCAGGAGGTGGATAGTGTAGGCATTCCAGATTGAATATGGGAGTTGCATTCCTGCAAGTTCTCCTGTTGCATTAATTGTGATTCCTGTGAGTTTGCAAGGATTGAGTGAGTCTAATGTAGTAAGCTAATCCCGAGGATGACGAGTAATGGTCTTGAAACTCGGTGGCGTTCGGGTCTGGTGGTGTTCGGGTCTAGAGGCTTAGCGGGCAGGTTCCCGTGCTGTCAATATGCATAGAATGATACCAGTGATGATAATGATGATAATGATTCATTTGTGGATTTAGTGTACAGCTTTTCATAGCAGCGGAGCCAACGGATTGTGGGCTGAATCCTGTCTGTTCTTTCTATCAGGGTTGGCGATCATTCATACATCCCGTTACCACCTGTGTTCCTTTGATAAGACAAGACGAAAAAAGACAGAGGAGCGCGGAGTTGAACTGCGCATGTCCATCCAGCAAAGTTATAACATCTCGCTTTCGGGTATACTGCTTTGTTTTTATACCTGACTTTTCTTCTCCTTCACTTCTTCTTCGCATTGCGCTACTCTTCTGATCACGTCGTTCGACTCGCTCAGTAGACGTCATACTTGGGTTAGGAGCACTCTGTAGGTGTACCCATGTATGAACAGAACAACAAATATAAGGGTTTCATTTCTTCTCCCATCCGTCATGGGATAGTATAATTTAGCATGGCATGGCATGGCATGGCATAGCATCGCGTATACACAGTATAGTGCACGCTCCTTCTGTCTCCCTCCTCTGGTATTGGGTGACTCTCTCCCTCCCTCCCTCCACTTCCATGCTTCCCTCATCATCTCTCATCGCTCCATCTTCCCCGCCTTGCACTTCTTTACCGCTTCTCATACCCTGGCGTCCCCGCAGCCCTTTGCTCCGCCTCATATTCTTTAATTTGCTTCGACCAGAATCTCGAGGGGAAAAATCGATCCGGCTGTTCATATCGCGCGTTAGCGAAATGGTCCATTCCACTCTTTCTTCTTCTCCCTTTATTCCTCTTTCTTTTCATTCCCACTCTCCCTTGTTTGTCTTCTTCTTCACTCCTCTTCCCTCCGCTGCCTTCTCTTCCCTTTCACGCTCCCTCGCTGATGGAGCACAGCTGCGACTTACCTGTGGCATCTCATTCCTAAACTCGCGGTTCGCGCTCAAATTCCACGCCATAGCCGCAATTCCCACCACTACGCCTCCCATGATTGCTGTGTTGGTTTTCCAGTTGGCGGGTTGCGAGTACCAGCCTCCGGCGGGGGACCAGACGTGTTTGGGGTAGCTGTTTGAGTGGAGTTAGATGACGCTTATTGGAGTTGGAACGGGGTCTTAGGAGGAGGAGGATGAGTAGGGAAAGAGGAGGAGTGCGTACGGGACTTTAGGGCCACCGCCACGGAGGATTTGTGTGACTCTCATGGTGGGTGGATGTGTGGATATATGAAAGGCGATGGGAGGTGTCTCGGTGAGTGAGGTGAGGTTGATGCGGCCAATGCGGAGGTGACGGTCGGTCTCAATGCCAAGACTCTGGAGCGTAAGAGAGCGATGGCGATTGGCAGTCGCGAGAAAAGTTGAACATTAAGACTCTATACCTCTCCACTTCATCACGCGACACTGTCCAATTTCACTTCTGTTACCAGGCATCGAGGATTGGTGGTCGCCGAATAATACATGCAGTCCTTACGTCTGGAGCGGTGGGCGACGTCGTTGCAGCAGGCCCCAAGAAATCCACGGTTACGGGCACTGGGTGTATGTCCCTATTCATCATCATCAGCAGCAGCATCAGCATCAGCATCGACGACAGCGAGAGTACCGAGACGGGAATTGCAGACGCGATATCAGCATCACCAGACACAATGGCTGCACCAACGACGAGGAGTGGCTTCGAGACGGAAAGCTAGCACTTCTGCTGCAGCGGAGCAAGTGCAGCAGGAGGAGGCACAAGATTGGGATGGTTTTGCCACAGATGGAATGGTAGAGGTTGTAGTGGAGGAAGAACCTGGTAAACACTCGCTCAACTTCCCTTCACACCGTCAAGCTGTGAAGAGCGCGAAGCTGGCAGCTCTGCATGCCCGATTGTCTCTTCCCACGAAACTTCCTCTCCAGACGTTGGCGCGATGTTTGATCGATCCGAGCGTGGATCCACGGCCGGGATACAACAATGCTCCTCTGGCGGTTCTGGGGCAGGAATTGCTGGGATACTACACCACGGAATGGCTGATTTGCAAGTATCCGCGACTACCTCTGTCCATCATCATGGCTGCTGCGTACGGATACTTGGGAAACAAGACACTGAACAACATGCGTCTGGAATGGGGTGTGGAAGCTGTTGCGGCACCTGGACCGGAAGTCGATGCAGGATTACTGCAATTGAAGAGAACGACACCGGGGAATGCAATGTCTGAGGACGGGATGAATCGAGTGAAAGATGTGGAAGAACGACCGAAACAATACAAAACATACAGCAGTTCCATTGTCCACGATGACATGTTCGGCCAGCCCCAGGATTTCCCTGCATTGGACCATTTCGACAGGAAGCCCTATGCAGGCGCACCCATCTCCAGACGCGAACAAGAGGTAGAAACAGCCAGCAGAGACCCAGACATGGCAGACTCGATCGGCGTCGGTGTGGAGGACCTGGAGCCAGAAGCTGACGCTGGAAGATTCGCACTCCAGCCCTCCAGCGCCGTTGACATGAACACGTCCCCTGTCATCCTCGAAGACGCCAGTGCCGGGTTCGTCCGGGCCCTCGCCGGAGCATTGTACCTTCACGCGGGAACTGCAGCAGTCAAGAATTTCCACAAGGCGCATATCCTCTCTCGTCATTTGCCATTGCACACCATGTTCAGTTTTAGACACCCGACACAGGATCTCTCGAAACTCTGCCGGAGAGAAGGGTGGGAAAGCCCGGTGGCGCGACTGATATCGGAAACTGGACGATTGAGTCGGACGCCCGTGTTTATCGTGGGCGTCTTCAGTGGGAACGACAAGCTGGGCGAGGGCGCAGGTAGCTCACTGAACGAGGGACGGGTACGAGCTGCTGCGGATGCATTGCGGAGTTGGTACCTGTACAGTCCGATGGAGAGTCAGATTGTGTTACCGAGTGAAGTGGAAGGCAGCAGCAGCAGTGACAGTGGTGACAATTGGAAGAATGCGCAGGGAACGACGACGACGAAGAAGAAATGGATCCCACAATATATTGACATGGGAGAGATTGTGGCATAAGAAGGACACTTGTACTATCTATGTATTATGGCACGGCTCTCTTCTTTTTCTTCTGACGGGATCAGTCAGTCCGTCATTCCTCCTGTTGTAAGCCCCCAGATCTTGTACAAAGTGTATAAATTTTGTTGTCATTACGAGGTGAAAGAGGAAGGGAAGAAAGAAGAGCGCAAAAAATGGTCTGTCTGTCTACATTGAAAACTCGGAGTGAAGTCATCAACATCATCAATCACCCTATTTCCCTTCCTTTTCCCTCCATCGAAACTCAACCCAAGGCCCTTCATTCCGACTCATGAACCAATCCAGCAACTGATATTCAAACGGTTGTCTCTTTCCACTTTTGATTTCTTTTTGAATTCTCTCCGATAGTAACTTTTCCTCTTTCTGTGCGTGTTTGTGTTTCTCAGAGTATTCGTCCGAAGCGGAGGAGGAAGAGGAGGAAGCAGAAGAAGACAAACGCATATCAAAAGCAAAAATCAATCTCGCAAGTGCAAGGCTCAATTCCATATATACCAAAGGTTTCCCCAAACAGGAACGATGGCCAATGGAAAAGGGCGTAAAGACTTCTTGGAGAGATGAGCGATTTTGGGGATGATGTCGTTGTTCTTGTCCTTCTTTTTCTCCTCCTCCTCCCGTTCCCGAAGAAGAAGAAGAAGAAATCCACCTCTCCGGATCAAAAACAAACGGTCTAACCACATAATCCCCATGATGCTGAACCGCATAAATCGGAACCCCCACATCCACACCCTCTGGCAAAAACACTCCCAATTCCGGAATGTCCAACCCGCCCGACAAAACCTCTCTCGGTAAATTCCCCCCCACAGCAGGAGTCATACGCATAGTCTCATCAATAACGGCACGCAAATAACTGCAAGATTGCATTTTGGGACCCATGCGAATTTCATGTCGCGTGGAAAATGTGGCCAAAATTTCTGCGCGAAGCCGATGGAGGGTGGGAGGGTTGTGGAGGAGATAGTAGAGAGTTGCTGCGAGAGTGGTTGAGGTGGTGTCGCTGCCTGCGACTATTAGGGTGTTGCTTTCCATCCAGAGTTCGGGGAGGGGAATATTGTCTCCTGTATCGGGGTCTTGGGCAGTTAGGAGGAGGGAAAAAATATCTTTTCTCTTCTTAAGGGGATTTTTGTTATCATCGCTTTGTTGTTGTTGTCGTTCCATAACTTTCACAACCTGCTGTTTCCCAAACGCAAGATATCGACATCGATCTCGATAGAGGCCTCTCAGAACCGGGAGAAACTTTTCCAAACCGGTAGAAACCAAAGCGGGCATAGCAGCCACGACATAATTTCTTCTCGCGGCTCTTCCAAGGAGGAAAATTGCTTTGCGGTTAGGGATATGGGAGCCGAGAGTTCCAAAAGATTTTCCAAAGACTAATTCTCCCATGATGTCGAAGACGAGCCAGTTGCACCATTGGGACATGTTGAGACATTTGCTCCATTTCTCTTTTCCCTCCTCCTCCTCCTCCTCCTTTTCGCCACCACCAGCACAATCAACCACCTCTCCAACCCTCCCAATAAACTCCTCCACAAGCCCCAAAACATACCCTTCCATCCCCTTCATAGCCGTCTCGGAAAAAGCAAACCCCATAACCCTCCTCTTCCTAGCATGCTGCAACCGATCCGTCGCCAACAGGGTACTAACCGCATTCGGCGCAGCACGAAAACACTCATAAAACCTCGATTTCTTGACATTCGCGCCATGAGAATATATCCTTTGCAGCGCAGCCGGATGATTAATACTCAGAGAATTGGGCGAAAACCGGACGATGGGACCGTATTTGATATGTAAGTGGTAGAAGAGAAGGTGTTTGTCGCCGATGTAGGCGTGGTAGACGTCGTAGGCGGGGGTGAGTTTGCCGAGGAGGGGGCCGGGGTAGATTGCGAGGGGATGGAGGTAGAGTTGGTAGATGATGTAGGCGGTGCAAGTGGTGAGGAGGATGCTGGAGAGGATCCATGGGAGGTGGTGTTGTTGGGTTGAGAGTTCATTGTTGTTGTTGTTGGTGGTGGTCCAGGAGAGAAGTAGTCGTCGTGGCCATGTTGAAGCTTGTTCTACTAGAGTGTTGTTCATACTGAATCTTAAGAGAGGCGTATACTATATCTGTACTGTATTGTAAGATATATAATATAATAATGCAAAGCAACAAAGAAAATAAAAAAAGGGGGGGGGGGGGGGGGGGGTAAGACTCCAGTAAGTACCTAAGTGTGGATACACCAACAAAAAAGAAGTAATCAACAAGTCTGTTGATTTTTTAACAACAACAACAACAACAACAGTTCTACCTCCTAGGAAGTATAAGAAAAAGAAAAAGAGAGAAAGAGAGAGAGTTTGTCTTAGCCCCATAACAGTAGTCTAGACTTTTTGACTTAACGCTAGGAACGCCTACTTTATCCTCGAGTCCCTCGACTCTCCGCTCTATCTTGAGACATCCCTCCAGCCTTATACTGCCGTCCAAAAGGAAGTATATCCTAGCTAATATCCTGTGTCTTATAACTCCCTTATCAAGTTGTTAGCTTTCCTATATACCTCCCTTGTCAGCTTCCTACATAACCATTTCCATTCGGTTCGGTTCCGGTTCCGGGAAAAGTATAGGTACAGTCGGTCCCGATCAGGTGTTTACTGCTACCTCCTAGCTATAGCTGCTATACCTACAAGGCTACAAGCTGCATTCAATAGTTACGTTTTCTGTGTATATCATCAGGCATAATCTTGGAAGCAAGCGGAAAGATCGGGAAGCGTCGTGGAAAAAGGTTGTTGTTGAAAGTTGTTGTTGTTGTGGAAAGTAGGATGAACGGAAAAGACGGGAACAGGGACGGGGATACAATATAATACAATACTTCCAAAAGGCTCACTTCTACTTCCCTCTCACCGGTATAGACAGACAGACTTGACATATTATTCATTATAGATGTGTATACTACACTACTACTGACTGCGGACTGCTCCTTGCTGCTGCTGCTGCTGGATCATGATAGCTTGCCTCCCCGCACCACACCCAAATACCCATCTATGTACACCCCCTACATCCCTTCACCACCACTACCATCACCACCACCACCTCGCCAGCCAGCCAGCCAGCCAGCCAGCCATTCATTGATTCGTCACTTGAGTCGTCGAGATCGATAGTCGGAAAACAGTCGGTCTGGCTGGCTGGCAACACCACACAGCAAAAAGTGCAAAAAGTGACTGCGGCGCTCCATTACTGTTGTTGCTTTGCGTAATCTCGCACAAGCACCAAAAAAGAGTAATCACACCAAGATGCTGGGATGCGAAATGGATCCATCTCATGCTTCACTCACTCCCTCACGCCCTCCCTCACTCCCTCACTCATCATGCGGTGACGTCTCATCTATGGTTTCGGCCGCCAAAAAAACAAAAATCTGGTCTCTTATGAAAAGAGACTCGTCTGCATTTCCTGTCCAACGATTTAAAAAAAAAGCAAAAAGTGCATGAAAAAACACTGGGTATGGTATCGTCATGTTCACGGTCGTTTCTTGCCGCGTGAGGGTGGTACTGTCGACCCTGTGGGAGGTGATGATGATGATGATGATGATGATGTCGTGGGCGAGCCGGAGAAATGCTGCGCAAGGCTCGCCAGCGAGCCGGAGTTCGAAAGATGCACCAGGAACAGCCAGCAACACAGTGCGTTCACCAGGTAGTGCATCCTGTACGCGTACGTAACGCCATACACCGCCGCGTAGAGCGCTAATGCAAACATTAATGTGTTGGTGAAAAAGCGAATGCTATATGCACGCGTTAGCAATGAAATCTCCTTCCTCCACACACAAGTGGTGACAAGACGACACAACATACCGACTCGTGACGCGCGGTATCATGTCATTCGTGCTCATCGTCTCGACCAGCAAGATGTAGCCCAGCACCGACAGCAGGTTGTGGTGGGTCGAAAAGGGCGTCATCCAGTGTACGGTGAGATTATGGATCCACACCACCAAGACAGGTGCATTGATGGGTAGGATCCAGAGCATAAGGATCAGCATCGAATGTGCGTAATTGTAAAAGTGATAGCTCGGTGGCGTTTGCGACTCCTGGGCGGTCTTGATGGCTCGTATGCACGTCACGGCTTGGACGAGGCAGAGCACCGCGTATGCGAATTGGTAGGGGATAATGGTGACCACCAGGAGCAGCAGCACTGCGATGGTCATGTTGCGGCGATTGAGCAATCCCCCGTGGGACGATGGTATTCTGCTAGGACAAGTGTCAGTATCAAGCGAGCCGGTCGTCGTGCACGGAAATACACACCGTGCATCATACGACGTGCCGTGCGTCCACGAGTGGACCTTGGCCACCGCAAGCGCAATGGTATGCGTCAGAGCGAGGACGACATAGTTCATTGCAATGCAGATTCCAACGCTGGTGATGGCAAACAGGGGAATCAAGAACCAGAAGAATGGATCCGAGGTGCCCAGCATCAGATCATTCACGGTGAAGTCAATCGTTTGTTCGGACGTGCCGGTGGACTTGCTGAGCCAGTGCCGTGTCCAGAGATTGTGGCTGGACTTGGAAACGGCAATACCAAAGAACGTCAACGCGATGAAGATGGCCGGCAACGACGTGCGGATGCACTGGTCCATGCTCTGTGTGAAGCTGATGAATACTCCGGTGGTGTCGTACACCTTGAATTGTTTGCGTAGAACCAGTGCGACGACCAGGATGGGAAAAGCGGCGAACACGGTCCGGTATCTCATCACCAGTTTGCCCGCACTCCCGAGTACATCGACCTTGATCGAAACCTCCAGCGTCGAGTTGCACGTGGGGTCTATCCAGAACTGCAGTGCCAGTCCCTCTGTCACAGGGCCAGCACTCAATCGTGGCGGCATGTACGGTGACAGGCCGTGGACGTTGATATTGCCCCCTTTGGTGTTGACAAAGTACTTGGACTCGTACGGTTCGGCAATGTACTGGCGGAGCAAGGGAGCAAAGCTTTCAGGAGCACCTCTGCACGGCTTCCTGTTCACCTCCAGTGCATACGCAAAGAGCGTCGAGTGCACCTCGGGAATCTTCAGCTCCGTCATCATGGGTCTGTTCGCAGGAAGTCGAATCGTGGCACCGCTGAGGAGGAGCTGGTGGTGGCCTTTGCTGACCTTGATCGAAGACTCCACGGCGAGACTGAACTCGGCCATCACCCATCCCGCAGTGCGCTCATTCGCCTTTTCAATCACCGCGACGAATTGATAATCCGCAATGTCGGAGAGCTCGTACTGCAAGTACGAGAAGGGGGGTGCCTTGTCAAAGGCATGGACGGACGTGTTGGTCGATGCCGGCAACAGCGATACATCCGAAACCGCATTCTTGCAGGCAAGTCTCGTCGATCCGCCTGCATTGTTGGTGGGATCCAGATTGATGGCATAAGACAGCCCTGAGAAGCCTGCAGGCGGCGGAAAGACACTGCAGAGGAGCACGGAGAGCGTGCCGTTATCTTCTTCCGAGTCCAGCTTCTGATCGGTCAGGAGGGTGAACTTGCTTCCTTTCACGAACGGCTGTGCTGGTATCGGCATGACGTGCGCTTTGGTGGTACCTGCATCACCCAGCGACCGTAATACGAGACGTTCGCCGTGTGACATGATGCCGGTAGAGCTGTGTTCGAGCGTCAGGTACGTCGTGGGCTCCTGTTCCAACAGGCCCTTCTCCACAACGGGCTCGATTCCGGTGAGCAGTCGTTTCCGGAACGCGCGTATGCGTTCGGGCTGTGCTCGTGTCTGTGATGGGCGGCGAACGTCAATCACATCGTATATGGCCTTGACAATGGCCTTGCGGAACTGGTCGCACCACATGATGGCCAGATGATCCATGCCGGTCCAGACATTGGGAATGCTCGAGGTGAAGACGGTGAAGCCGTGTGTATCCGGCACCAGGGACGTCAAACTGGTGTACTCGGACGGGATCATGGTGTCCAGACCACCTCCCGCAACAGAGACCAGAGTGACGTCCTCGAGGGGGTTCTTGCCCGCTCTCACGCCGGAGAAGGAGTCTCTCCAATACGTGTTGATATCGTTGTATGTCGAGACCATTGCTGCATCAAACGAGATGGGCGGCCGGGCATGAGGAGCAGAGAGGGTGAGGATGGTATTGATGGTGTGCTCTTGATAATTGGACATTCGGAGCATGGTCCTCGCCACGACACCACCCATGGAGTGTCCCAGGATAATGACCGATTTGGGGTCGGGAAGGCCCGGTTCTCGCGCAGAGCGTTGTGGATTGTGATATAGCGCCAAAATGTATGCAATGGCCTCATTCAGATATTCGGCCTGATCCAACAGCGTCTGGCCATGAAACGCGATGAGTTCTTCGTTGAAGTCGACGGTGAAGAAGTCCAACGACCGTTTCCCGTCATTCCGCGCGTGCTGATTCTGTCGCAGCACCTCATGAAAGTACACTGCAGCCTCTGCAGCGATGGGGCGGACCTGCTTGTAGCTTCCCGCATTTCCGGGAATGAAAAGGACTGGTATGCCCTTGACGCGGACATCTTCGTCGATGCCGCCTTCGCGATAGAGGTATAACGAGTACTTGCTGGCAAAGCGAGTGTGCTCGGAGTCAAAGTCCGGGAAGCGATCAAATCGTGGGCGCATGTACGACATGGCGCATCCTTTCGGGTCCTGCTGCCGATGGAAGAAGGAGTGGACCACGGTCAACAGCATCAGGATGGCGCCAATGCTGGTCGCGAGCGTGAGAAACGAACATCTCCAGGGACTCCGCAGTCTTTCGGCGTGTTTGCGCAGACGGTCTGCGACGTAGTCGGAGGCCGACTTCGAGGGCACGGGTTGGTCGAGGGTGTCGGGCTCGAGCGGAGGATTCGACCTGGCGGGTGTAGTTCGCGGCCATATTGTCTTTTCTGAGAGCATAGGCATGGTAGTGTTCTTCTGCTCTCTGCTGACCTTTCTCTGTTGCTGCTGCGCCGACAGCCGTATGGTGCGGCCTTGCTGGCCCTGATCCCGCGTGGTCATATCTCCTGCTCCGCCACCGATTCCTCCTCCTGCTGCTCCGCCTCCGCCTGCTCCTCCTCCTCCTCCTCCTCCACCTCCTCCTCCTCTGGCCTTTTTGTGAATGGAGACACTGCTGCTCGGCGGCTTGTCGCGAACATCCTCTTCGCTTTCCTCGCTCGGTCGCCTCCTCATTGAAAAGCTAGGTGCGCCCGCAGTGTCGGCGTCGCCTTCACGAACACGAACTCCAGCACGGAGGGAGGCAGCAGCAGCAGCAGCAATAGGGTGGCAGCAATGAGGTGGGTAGTGGTAGCGACAGGTGTGGCAGCGACCAGGCCAGGCGCTGTCTTTCTCTTCCTCTCTCTCTTCTCTCTCTTCTCTCTTCTCTTCTCTTCTCTCTCTCTCTCTCTCTCTCGCGCTCTCTCTGGTGAGGAAATCGCGTGGCAGGCAGGCGCAGGACGGGACGGCTAGAGCTAGACTAGACTAGACTAGACCAGACTAGCAGCGGCATGGACCCACTCGTCCTCTCTAGTTAATAATCAATGCATCCGATCACAGATGACTCTCTGACGGGCCGCTTGGCGTGTGTATGCCCGTATACGGTATACACTTCCTCTTGGTATATCACATAAAACTCTCGAATCATGTACGACGATAACAACAATGACGACGGGAGCAAGAGGTGGTATGAAACATGTGCTACCTAGTACCAGTACCAGTACCAGTACCAATACCTACGACTGACGACATGCACCACCACCTTATTACCTGTACCTTCGAGAACAAGAAGAGCTCTCTCACTGCAACCCGAGAGCTTATTTCCCACGCTCCGACCTCTCTGCAGTCGTAGCAGCAGCAGCAGCAGCAGCAGCATCTTTTCTCATCCCCATCCCATCCCATCCCTATTCGAACTACTGCATCTTCCCCAGACTGAAACTCACCTTTTTTATTATTGACTGTACCAAGTACATGTACCTTCATATCCACACCATCATCTACAAAAGTCACACCTATGATCAAAACGCCCCCCCTACCCCCCGCCAAGCAAAAAGACGACGCGTCCACACTCTCCTGTCGCACCAAGGAGAGCTTCCATGCTTGCCAGGCTTGCATGCAAGCTCTTACTACTCCAGTACACTACACTACCAGGTCTGACTCTGGGCTGGGGGGCTGGATGCATGTACGGTAAGCTAAAAAAGAGGTACATGTACATGTAGCCGCCATTGGTATACACTTCCTTCTAAGCAATGCAATGCAATGCCGAATCAATAGTTGCCGCGGTCCTGGTAGAGATGGGCAGTATACAATAGCTAGCTAGCTAGCTGACTGCAGAGTAGAAGTATATACTTATCTACTTACTCGCTCGGTTTGCCGAATCCCTAGACGAGTATAGCCGATGAATAGATCCTCCCGAGTATATATAGGCGAGTAGGCAAGATCTTTTCGGAAGTAGATAGATAGCAAAAAGATAATGACTCGGGATGATAATAACGATATCGTACCTTAGGTATATACGTATTGTATCGCAAGTCAGGTAGGTAGAGAAAACAAGAAAGATTTTTGGTTGAGAGAGCAACGCAGCCTACCTATCCACCTAGCCCAGCCCAGCCCAGCCCCAGCCACCGTGAACGGCAGAATTGGCGGGTCAAGGTTTCAATGCACGCCACAGTCACATTGTAAAAGGTATCAAGTAGGAGGTATCGCTTCTCCCTCCTATCGGCAATTGGCACGAGCTCCACTCCTACGAGCACGTGCCAGCTCATGGAGAGCCATAGGAGGTGCCTCAGCTCACACGACACGACCAACCTGGACCCGACTCTTCTCCAGCTTCGAGCGCCACTGCTCCGTCTTCTTCGCCTTCCTCTGTGCCGCCCGACTCTTGGCCGCGTACCGCTTGAACGCTCCTCTTGCGCCATGCCGCAACTTGGTAATCATGTCGCCCGCACGACCCTTGCTGAGGGATCCATATGCCAGCTTCTCATCCGCGCCGCGGCTCGTGTTCAAAAAGTCGATTTGCGCATTCGTTGCATTCGATCGCCTCCATGCTGCCGATGTGGACACAAACACGGACGGAAAGGTCGTGCTCGCAAACGTGTCTGCCGCGTGGACGGCGTCTTCGAACGTGATTGCTTTGGCAATGGGTTTGGGACGCGCAAGGACTTTCTTGTTCTTCGCGTCGGATGTCTGTATCTTTCTGGTATAAGTGACGATGAATTGCTCGGGATGCTCTTCGTCGCGCTGGATTCGCAGGAAACTGCCATCTTGGGTGGAAAGGATGTACTTGGATTCGTCGATTTGCACCCAGGCATAGCGAGAGATCTGTCGAATGTGGCGCTCGCCCGCCGCGTCGTCAATCAAGTCGTTGACACTGTCGTAGTCTGTGAATGTGATCTCGCCGGAAAGCTCGGGTACTTGGCCGCTGGGTGACAGCGTGCCTAGTACTTGTGCTTCTCGCTCTTGCTCTCGTTGGCGTTTGTCTTTCAGTATCTGCAAGTCTCTACCATCGGCCTCCTGCACGAGTTCGTCCGGGTCCAGGCCATACAGTGTCGGCGACGTCACAATTCCCGTTTCCAAAGATGCCACCATATCAATCACATGGCAATTGACTTTGCCAGGGTGCTTCCGCAGTCCTCGCCCGATCATCTGAACCAATAAATTGCGTGACTGTGTCGGTCTGGCCAAAAGGACGCAATCGATGTTGGGAATGTCCGTCCCCTCGGTATATATACCGCAATTAACCAGCACGGGATACTCGCCATTCTTGAACGCCTCCAGCCGTTCGGATCGGACCTTTTTGGTCGTGTCGCTCGTGACGAAGCGAGCGTCCACACCGTGTGCGCGGAACATTGCTGTCAGTGAGGCAACGTGCGAGAGGTCGACACAGAAGACCAGAGTCGACTTTCTCCCTTGTGCTTTGGCCATCCATGCCCCCACAGTCACCGCATTCGTCTTATCGTTATTCACAGCCTTGGATAGAGCGCCAATGTGGAAGTCATCTGCCGATTGTTTGACATTGTCCAGCTTGACTCCGGACTGAACCGTTGTGAGAATCAAAGGCGATAGCCATTCGTCTTGAATCATATCCATGTAGTCTTGGTGGTACACAATGTCGTCGAACGCTTTGCCAAGTCTCATACCATCGTGCCGGGAAAAGGTCGCCGATACTCCCACCAAACATGCGGGACCGACATGTGGCGCATTCAAGAGGCCAAAGTGGTTCAAGATGTCGAGATAGCCTGCTGCAGCGCTGTGATGGGCTTCGTCGACCAGCAACATCTTGAATCGTTGTGGGTCATATCGTGATAGCCGATCACCACGTGTCAGACTCTGCACTGATGCCACTGTGATATGGGCAAGGCCGGTGGCGTGTCTGGCCGCCATCTCGATCTCCACCGTCTGATCGGGGTACAATGCTCGACAGTGCCGAGCGGCTTGCTCGACGAGCTCCTGTCGGTGGGCAAGAATCAGGGTTTGCGTGGCATCTTGCGTGGGAGGCGGCACTCGACTGATCAGATGACTGAAGATGACCTGTCTCTTGTCAGATGATGATGGTGATAACAGTGCTGTGACAGATGGGAATGGGGCAACTTACGGTCTTGCCACTGCCGGTCGCCAGAGACAAGCCTGCTCTCTTGCCACCTTTGGCCAGGTAGCCGAGAACGGACTGTATGGCATTCTCCTGATACGGTCTCAGGGACACCTTCTTGTCCTCATTCTGATGACTTGTTGGGGATGTGGCGATGGGCCTGGTCCATGAGAGTGAACGGGGATTTTGCCATGGCACGCCGAACGATCTTTGGCTGCGCGACAGCAGCTTCGGCGGTTCTACATGTCGTAGGAGCCAGGTCGGGCCGCGCATCGATGTGTCGGCCTGGACTGCGAGATGTTGCTGTCATAATGGCCAAGAGATAGGTAAGGTTGGTGGTGTAGGAGGAGGTAGACGCGACTCGCGGAGATCCGAGTGCTTGGCAATTTCGAGTTAGACTCTTCCAGTTTCTCTTCCTCCCACCAGGTGTATTGCACGAACTACATACGTACCAACCTCGCTATGCGAAAGCAGGATCGAGGTCTCTCATGGCTGTAGACACATCAGAGGATGAGTACATCGACAGCGACGATGACTTACTCTCCGAAGAACCAGACGCTGTCATGGTCGAGAGCAGCGATCGCCCAAGAAAACCTCGTTCGAGGCAATCCAGTCGAGGAAAGTCTCGCTCCAGGCAATCTACTAGCACGGGACAAGCAAGCAGGTCGTCTCGAGAACGATCTCAGTCCGTTCAATTGGCTCAGTCAACAGAAAAGGTAGAGGTGGCTTGGACCAACGAATATCGAGACTTGCTCAACGACATGATTGCGGACGCCAGTGGCCATTCGGCGGCATTCGATCCTGCTCTGAGACCCTCGCGAATAGGATGGTCTACTTGGTCTGCTCACGAGAAAAGCACACTGTTTGAAGCGCTCGAACGACATGGTGTAGGCAATCTCCCGCGGCTGACACGTGCTGTGGGCACCAAAAGCCAGTACGAGATACAGGTATATATCCAATCGCTTCATCAAGATCTTGCGACGCAGCACGAATCCGCTCCGCAGAAACTCGTGCATTGGAGCGACGTTTCCGCGGCTTCGGAAATCACTGCAGAGTGTGAAGCCGCACTGAATACTGCTGCTGATGCACTCTCGTCCCGAGTCGAGAAACAGGAGCAACTCGCAGAACACAGCAAGCTCGGCGATGGTTGGCTCATTGACGAAAGGGTGGCCGAGGAAGATGAGCAGTCGTACGAACAAGCAGTTGCGAGTACAGCCGAAATCAAAGTAGAAGTGAAAGCAGAAGGCTCTCAGGATGTATCTACCACCGACACTCAATCTGCCATGTCAGACCCGACCCATCTCCTGCGTCCTGCTGCATTCCTTCAACTCTCCCAAACGCTGTTCATGAACAATGGTGAGGACCAACAGCTCAATTGGCACCATGTTGATCGGATTACAGACGCGACCGACGAACCTGCTCTCTTTAGAAGAGCTTGGGACGACCTTCACGCGCTGACTGTGAGTCTCACACGTCGGCTGGTCCAAGCAAGCATCTTCCAGGCCATGACCCGGCTCCGAGCCCATGACTCTGCCCGAGCTGACTGGAGCCCAGTGGCAGCTGTGCGAGGAGTGGATGTCAGATCAGCACTGGAGATGTTGCATATGGGACCCGACTGGAATGAATATTGGGTGAAAGTTGCACGAAGATGCCGGGTCTCGGTATATAGTGATTCGAAGAAGTACAACGATGGCCGGCCGGGCACCAAGAATGGTTTTCTCCTGGACTACGACGAAGTCGAAGCCGCGCTTGGTATCGACGACCACATGGCTGCTGATCAGAACAACGACGAGTGGGAAGAAGGAGATTCAAGCGACTTGATGGCGGCCGGTAGCGACGCATACACAAACGTGGAGGAAGCTACCTCTGACGAGGATGATGACGATAATGACGATAATGATGGAGGGAGCACAACAGATGTCAGCAGAGGGCCTCCCGTCGAAGGGTTTCGCAGCACACGTCAGCGCAAACGACGTCTCAGCCCCACAAGCTTTGCTCGTGTGGAAGATGAACATGTCAACGCTCTTGACAGCCGCATGTCTGCACGAGAAGAAGTCCGTTTGTGGCAGGAGATATTACAGGTCAGGCCACCACCGCAAAGCGTTGTTGATGCTACAGGTAGTCTGGCTGCACCCACTGCGCTGCCTCCTGCCCCATCGGATATGCATTCCACGCCACATGATCATGTGCCTCTCGAGTGGCGGAGCGCAGTCACGTATCAAGGGCCATGGGAGCACGGACGGGGTGTTCCCGCGTTGGAAGATTTCCAGAGAATGACAGCTCGTGGCCATGCAGGGCGGAAACGAAGACGTCTCATCCAGGACAGGATAGCTGGAGTTGCGTTTCTTGTGAAGGATTGTCCTCCTGTTCCTCCTCTCGATGATGATGATGATGATGATGATGATGATGATGACGATGATGACGATGAGAATGTGATAGACGACGAAGATGCCATGGAAGACGTCGAATAATATCGCGTAGCGTAGCTACATGATGGAAGACGACAATGACCAGAGCAAAAGTACCTATAGTCTCTACCAATAGCCTCTACCCTGCATCCCTCGCTCTCTGCTGTATTACTACCTTACTCCGACCCTCCCGCCCAAGGGAAAAAAAAGAGTCCCATCGTGACATGAAACATGGAAAATACATCAGACATGAAACATCTTATAGGTCCATCCATGCCCATGTCCAGCCCAAACTACCTATTGTTAGTTCTTTAGAGTACCATTTATGATTTTTCCAATATTAGGATCTAGGTATTATCGATTTATCACACCTGAATTATTCTATTATCATCGGGAAAGCCGGACATGTCCACTCTACCTATACCCTTACTACCGGTACAGCGCGGCAGAGGTAGAGGCAGAGGCAGGTCACCCTAGTGTCCTCGGTCGTATATGTACATACCTCTTACATCTAATTGTGCCCGACTGTAAGGTAATGTATCTACTACTCCTTACCTCTCCTCGGCACTTTCTACCCGAATTGAGTCGAGAGAGTTTTCAATATAGCGAACTATCTAGCTACCTTACCTGTAAGCTAACAACTAAGGTATCTATCCGCGATTTGCCTATCGAGAGGACAATTTTTCTGATGATAGTATATCCTATACTATACTATACATAGGTATGATAACAAGACATTGTTGTTATTATTGTTGTTAAGGTAATACCTATCAATAGTCCGTCCATCCGGTAACGGGAGTATGCATGCAGCGGCCCCGGATGTCCGGTAACACAACCAACCAACCAACAAATTCCCGAAAAAAAAAGAGTGGTATAGGTACAATCAGCCTCCCCTGTCGATGTTTGTTATCGTCAGTTGTTGTTGTTGTTGTTGGTGGTGGTCTTCCCGGTTTTTCTCAGATTGGTTAAAGGTCGGCGTGAGGACATTGGGACGTCACATGGTGTCAAATTAGCCAATCCACGTCTACTAGACTGCCAGTACTCCAGTAGACACCTTACATACCCCTAGTACATACATGTAGGTAGGTAGGTACTATTGATTTTGACGAATCCGGGTAATGAAAAAAAAATCAGATGAGGTTTTTTTTGTATCTATCGGATGACGAGTATTGATTGGGAGGTACAACTACTACTACTACTATAATGGACCCCGTTTCTCCCTTCCTCTCTCTTACTCTCTCCTCCTCCTCTGCGTGTCCTTGTATTACTCCAACCCCTATTAACCACCTTACCTACCTACTACCTACAGCCTGCCACAGCGGCGCCTCTCCCGCAAACACGAGTCTCGTATAACTTTCTGTTTCTCTCTCTCGTCGAGTACCAAACAACGCAGACTGCAAGTGGCCACAGGGACCTTATTTGGCGGGTTATTTGGCGGGATAGGGTTTGGCTGGCGCGACCTGACTTGAGCCCTCGCAATCTCCAATGCAAAAAGATAATGCACCCCACCAGCCTCCTGGGTCATTTCTGCCTTTGACCACAAATCAGCTTCGTCAGGTTACTAGTTGAAGGGTGAAGGGTGTGTGTGAAGTGAAGCCTCTCCCGGGCCTTCTTCTTCTTCATCGTCTGTACCGCCATCCACCTTCTCGCACATCTCTCACATCGACGACCGTTCAGATCGGAGACTTGGACCCGAGTTCGAACCACCGGAAGGAAGATTCACCGACCAAACGTTCCGGGGGCCAAGACCAAGATCGGGACGGATGGATCCGACCACCCTCGTCACCTTCTTGTTCAGAGCTCCTCCCGCCGTGCACACGGTGGAATTGCTGGGCTCATGGGACAACTTTCGCCGTCCCTATCGCATGCACCATGATCGTCTTCGCGGCGCCACCTTCTATACCGGCTGCTTCAAATTTGAAAACATCATCTTCGACGGCGGCGAGAGAGGCGGCGGTCTCCCTCGCACCGGAGGCTTGAAGCAGGGCGGCACCTACTGGTACTACTATCGTCTGAATTATGACTGTGATGCCTACGACCATGGCCAACCCCATACCACCGCCTGTCCCATCATGCCGGGCCAGCCTCTCAATGTCATCGAAGTTCCCACCGAAATTATCGACATTCCCACGCGCTGTCAGAGCGCCTATGGCAGTGACATGATGCGCACGAGTCTTGTCCATACCACTGCGCAAACCACAACCGCCGCCACCACTCTGGACCCTGCCGAACGATATGCCCCTGTGGAGGCCCCTCCCAAATCAAAGGTGCATTCGCGATGTCTTTCCGACGATCAATTAGCCGGTCGACTGGAAGGCATTGACCGCCCGCTCTCCGCTCCACCGGCAACTGCATCGCGACAAGTCCGCCCTGTTTCACCCTTTAGTCGACGCTCGCTGCATTCCCTACGAGTGCCGTCTGCACGCTCTGTGGTGAGCTCCATCTACTCGCAGCGTAGTCCGAGAGGGACTCCTGGAACTGGTATTGATTCCGAATTGCCGGATTCGGAAGAAGCGATGGACGCAATGAACCAAGTCGATCATCCGATGGACACGCGCAGCCTGGCCAGTAGCTCTCATCGACGTCAATCGACACTCACCTGCGGATCAGCCTCTATACACAATGTCCACTCCTATACGATTTCCGATGGGAATCACCATGTGTACCAACCACAGGTATACTCCCCATCGCCATCACACTCCAGCGACGACAGTCCCGTGCCTTCGCCTTTTGCTCTCGAATTCCCCATGCTCCCGAAACACGAATATCTCGATTGTATACCGGACTTTGGCGAACACCCAGACACGCTCAGCGACGGTCTCGCCGCCCTCGAGCTGTCGTCACCGACATTCACCGCGACCACCGTCAGCAGCACCGGCGGCAACAACACTCCATTCCGACTATCTGCACGACTATCATGTGAAGAGTCCCTTCTGAAGGAGGGCGTTCCCAACACAACATCCTCGCGAAATCATCATCACCCGTCCTGGGAACTCCACTACTCCCTTCCCAACATTTCCTCCGACAGTAACCACTCTCTCGCCAAAACCATTACATCAACGAGAACAACCACCACCACCACCAAAATTTCTCTTCGCGAGGAACGTCCATCGTCATTATCATCATCCTCACCTCCCCTTCCCTCCATTATCCAAGAGGAAGAAGGGTCCATGATGGATGCCATTTTTAGTGAATTAAAGTGTTTGTAAGTGGGACGATTATTGAATGAAGGAAGAGACAAGAGGCAAGAGAAAGACGCGAAAGACGAAAGACTACTGTACGATTACTTGTTATTACTACTATTTACCCTACTGTACTATGGAATGATGAGGATGATATGTGTTTACTTTTGAGAGCAGAGCAGAGCATAGCATAGCGAGGTATAACATAGCGAGGTATGACATAGCGGGAGTATAGCGTAACATAGCAGGGCAGGGCATAGCGGGATATCACATGGCGGAGTATAGTATATATAACATGACATAGCTGGGAGTCCGGGACAGGGCAGGACAGGGCAGGACAAGACAGGAAGTCATTTCTTTGGTAAATCAAACAAACAAGAGAGAGAGAGATTCTCATCTTTTCATCCTTCATCTCTTCATCTTTTCTTTTCATTTTTTCTTTTCCAGTTTTTCCTTTCCTTTCCTTTCCTTTCCTTTCCTTTCCTTTCCTTTCCTTTCCTTTCCTTT